CCAATCCCACTTGTGGGCATTTACCAAGGACTACCTGTTGTTTTGGGTCACATGTGAAAAAATTCTGGTTTGAGGAGTTTCTTTTTGCAATATAAAATCCCATAAGGTATCTGGATGAACAGAGCGTAATACTGTAATAACAAGAAATTGTGTTTGCTTTTGACAGGCTGAGAATAATTTCAAAACATGTGAATAATGTTGTGCCAGAACAGATTAGCAATATTCCATCTATGCTGACCCAGCGAATGAAAATGAGACTGAAGTAGCACAGAAAGCATTCCACACTGGCATAAGCGATGATCCTCGTTGCTATTCCGATCAGCATTTTGGGACTATCTGGAAACATACTGGTTATTCTTTTTCTTTCCTTTAACATTAGGAAGACCAGGTTTACCGTATATGTTCTAAACAGAACTATTGCTGACCTTGGTATTCTAATCTATCTATATACTTATTGTATGCTATTTTTACAACCAAGTATTGTCAGTCTATCTGTATCCTATGTAATGGAACTGATATATGCAATTGGATGCAATTCTAGCTTCTTTATGTTAACGGCTCTCTGCTTTGAAAGGTATTTATCTGTTTTTTACTTTACCTGGTATCAATGTCATAGGCCAGAACATCTTTCTTTCTTTCTCGTCAGCACATTGTGGACATTTTCTGGGCTGGTATCACTTTTGGAATACTTTGCTTGCTACCCAAGGTTCTACATATACTTGGATGAAAGTACGTTACAGTGCAGAATCACAAATCTATTCCAAATATTTCTCGAGTTCCTGATTTTTATTCCCATCATGGTCTTTTACACCTTGGCTATTTTTATCAGAATGCAGAAAAAAACCCAGCAAACTCCTCCAGCAACACTTGACATCTCTATTACTGCTACTGTTGTTCTTTTTCTTGTATTTGATGTATCGGTTAAAATTTTGAATACCATTGAATTTTGGTTCGATGCAGTACACGTACCAACCTTTTCAGTGGCGGTATTATTTGACGCCATAAGCAGCAGTGTCAGCCCGTATGTGTATTTTATTATTGGAGGTTGTCTGAAAAGACCCTTTGATCCTGTTTTAGTTTATCTTGAGAGAGCTTTGCAAGATGAAAGAACAATAGTGGAGGAAACACAAATGCAGCAAGGATAGCTTTCCAAGCGACCCTAGGAGCCAAAGAAATATCCATAGAAGAATACACTATTGGCTTACAATTCCAGTTCCAAAATAATTTATTCAGTACTCCTTATATATCATCCAGGTCCATTAACTAAATCAGCCAAATGCTTTATTGGCTCATAACTCCCTGTTTATTCCTGCCGCACAAAAAAAAAAAAAAAACAGAATAAAGAAATTGGTGGCCAGGAAAGAAAGATTCCTCTGATGAAAGAATTTTAATTCTGCAAAAGACTTTGTTGTGATTATGAACTATGAGATCGAGAGCTCCTAAAGCAGGAAGTAAGAGGGAAGGAGAAGCAGCTGTAGACCGCCTCTACACGTGGAAGATATTAGAAGGGAGCAGAGGAAGGAGAAAAGGAAGAAGAGAAAGCTATGGTGTCAAAGGAAGCTGGAAGGAGTAGAAAGAAAAATGTACAGATGAGAATATAGTGGCATTTGTATACCCTGTCTGAAGATAGACAGAGAAGGTTTATGTTCACACAAACAGTATTCATCCCACAGGACAATTTTGATAGTTATGACGTGATGCATCTTGACTCTGAGTTACATACATTGAGAAAGCACAACTGTTTATCTTTACAGCATAATGTACTGCTTTCAAGAACATTAGAAAACAAGTGGGGAGAATCTTCAAACTTTTTGGATTTTGTATGTTAATGTCGTAAACTTTTTCTTTATTTGAAATTTTATAACTACCACGACATAGTACTGAAAGTTTCTGGCTGGTGTAAACTTATAGAAACAAAATAGTAAAAGTCTGCCAAATAAAAGAAGGGTAAAACCAGTAAATAATAAGCAGTGCAGTGCCTTCTTTTTAAGACCAAGCTCAAAATCAGAAACAAAAATATTTTTTTTTAAAAAAAGAAAGAAGCAGCATGAACAGTTCTTAAATTAACGGGTAGAATTAAAAACAATTCTTCATGTGACAGGGAAAAAAAATCTAAAGAAAACAAAATCTGGTATTGGGTAACCATTTCTGAAAAGATTGAAGGAGACAGAATAAAGCACTTCACAAGACACAGATTAATGCTGTAACCCATGGGTGTCAAACTCGCTGCATCAAGTGCCATTATGTGATGTTTTGCAACATTTTTCCCATTCAAGAAGCTGGGATGAGTATGGCCTACGCACGACTCATAGGGCCACAGGCCGCCTGTTTCACACCCCTACTGTAATCCAAATGAAGACAGGGCCTTTCATCTCTGCCATTTTATTAAATCAAGCAGGGGAGATCCTATCATAAAGGAGAAACAGGAGTAGGAATGTCTGCAAGGGGTGTGGTAATTAGTGAAGTCAAAATGGCAGTTGTGATCATATAACTAAAGCCCCACCCCTTTTTGAGATGTGTTGTAATAACCATAAAGGGAAATTTGATTGCATGATTGTAGCTACTATCTTTATTTTTTTTACTGTCGCTTACAGACACTTCTCGCTGGGTGAAGGTAAAACAATTTGGTGAACATCCTAAAAAAAAGCTACTCCTCAGATGCCATGTTCAGTTATCATGAAACTGGATACTATGACATTATTTATTTGATGGGTTTATAGGGCTGATCTAGTAGGGCACTTGTGAATGCTTATGAAGATACCAAACAGTTTCACGTAAGTTATTTTGTTTTAAAGTAAAACAAAAAACCAAAAAAGTTATTTCAATCCTTACCCAGAAGCTGGCAGCCGGGGTTTGAGGCCCGAGCATCAACAACGGGATGAACTCCTGTTACTTATCTCAGCTCCTACCTACCTAGCAGTTCGAAAGCATGCAAATGTGAGTAGATAAAATAGATGTCACCAGCCAACTGCAAAAACTTCAGTTCCTGCAGTCTCCTTGGGAGGAATTGCTGTCCAGGGTACATATGGATGATCTTACAATCTCTACTTTCTCCAGAGAGAATTTGGTGGCCAAGATCTACCCTCTGGCAGCCAATCTCCACTGAATTCCATCACTGCTCTTTGGCAAATGCCTAGGTCACCATGGAAGAGTCTGGGGCTGCATGTGAACTACATAAATTATAACCTTCATCCATTTTTAATATTTCCACTAGGTGCACCTTAAATTAAATTTTCCATCTTTTTCTACATAGGAACTAAAAACAATTGAAACCTGGTTTGTAATCCCTTGGGTCTTAAATCCTATTCATCTCAGGGGCTAGAAGGAAAATTGGGAAGAAGGCACAGCTTCTGGGGATATCAAAGAGAACTGATTAACTAAGTGTATTTTTAATCCAACTTGACATACTGCCCCTATATCCAATCTTGAGTTAATAAGACTGTTAAATTACACACAATTTATATTCTGAAATATTGCCTCTTTTTTCCATGTTTCTTTCTGTACTGTTGAAATGCACTGTTCCAATTATATTCATAGCAGATTTTTTTTTAAAAAAAATTCAAAATAAGGACTTAAGGTTTTACTATATACTTAGAAGGGAAAAACTATATATTTCTAAATTAAGGCTGGCTGGTCTAGTTTTTGGATAAGCAACTACACAAACTGGATTGGGCACATCCTTCTGCGGAACAATAAACTGGTGCCTTGTTAACTTTGGGGTTTGGAAAACTCATTCAACCTATGTAATCAGCACCTCAAAATTCTCTATTTTGATCCTTTCACTCACGGGAAGTTAGAGACTGTAGCCTTTAGTTTGGGACACAATGATAGTGCTGTTCTGAAGACTATTCTTAGTGTGGAGAGATCATTGATACAGTCTTGAAAATGGGCATTCAATACCAATCAAACATCCTTTTTTTCCAGTTTTCTATGAAGAAGTTTTTCCCCCTTCTTGCTGGTAGATATAGAAGACCATTTCTGAAGAAAAATGAATGAAGATTGGAATAAATGATGAGTTTAGAGTGGGCTATGAGTATCAATATCAAATTGCTTTGTTTTGTAAAATCAACAGCTCTCATAAATATCACAGTATTTATGTTGGATGAGACTAGGAAATATTTGTTTATCAAAAACAGATGTAAATCTTATTTAAAGCTATATGTAGCAGCTATGATGACTGATGGTTTAAACTGCTTACCCTGAGCACTGGAAACTGAGTTTAGGGCCCTCAGGGTTTACATTGAAGCTTAAAATAATCACAGGAATTTTTACTTTTTCTCAACTATAAATAGAAAGCAGCATAAGCTTTTTCAAAAGCTCTCTTCACATTCTATGAATTACTGAGAAGAAAGGTTGAAATAGGCTGTTAGTGAAGCTGTTTGTTCTTGGAGAAGAAATTAAGAAGGTAAAAAAATAGGGCAATGATGATACCTGTTCTACATTTGGATGTATTCTGGGTCTTCTAGGGCATTTTACAGCCTAGGACCCCGATACTTAATGCTATTTTTTTTCTTCTACCCCAACTTTCCTGTATACAGAACTAATCTCCTGAGGTCCTTAGCATGAAAGATTAGTGTTTGGTGACTGGAGTGTCTTCTATGTTACAAGTCTCTACAAGAACTGCCTACTCTGCAGTTGGCTTTTTGATATCAAATAGAGCCATTTCACTTCTTCCAAAATTTGACATCTATTTGTGTAGTTTGTACATTAAATTATTTTGGGTTCTCTATATGAACTGTCCTGGAAGCTTCATGTTCCTCTTGAAAAGAAAGGGAGGAAAGTTGCTCAGTGCTGGACAGATTGTGTACAAGCAGCAAGCACAAAATATTTTCTGCAATACTTACACTTTTAAGAAAATCCGCAATATCCCTTCCATTACTCTTTTCCATTCTTCTATATATATTTTTCATAATAAAGAAGTTTGCTTTTCTCTACATCCTATTCGACCAAGATCTCCTTTCTTATTCTTCTTCCCATATCAGGAACCACAGAATTTTGGATCATTGCAATGTGTTTTTAATCTATTATTGTGTAGCTTACATCGTGGGAAAAAGAAACCAAGCATTTCTAGTGGATGAGCTGTTACACACGACAACTATAAGAGCCTCCAAGCAAGAAAGCCAGCAGAGACCAAGAAGCCACAATGCCACATATTCTGAAAGGGCATAAACAAATAAATGTAAATGCAATTGTTCCAAAGCCAAACAACATCAAGAGTTAACAAGCTTAGTTCTATCTGCTATAGATTCAGTTCAACTGAATTCATCATTCAAAATGGGCAATTTAATTACAAGGGCATTACACAATAGTTTAGATACTCTGTGCTTTACTTATTGCATAAAACCACATAATTCCCAAAGCAGCTTATAGCATAAAAATCTTTCAAATATATTAAGTCATACTCAATAAGCAATTTTAAATAAACCCAGTCATAATGAAATACAGTATCCTGTTAACACAATCCTATTAATCCTGAGAATCTTTCTCAGATTCTCTACTTGTTCAGTCTTTGTCTTCACTACCTGAAGTAGCAAAACAAAATGAATACATATATAAAAAGATTTCATGACCTACATCTACCTTCCCCCAGGAGATTTTTCCAAGTATGTTGGAATACAGCTCACTTCAGCCTTGGCCTGTGTAGCTATGGAGGCTAGAGATGATGAGAACTGCATTTCTCAATCCAGAGCAAATATGTCTGTATATTCAATGAACGTTAGAAAGTGGCTGGAACTGTGCTCAAGTGTGCATTATCAATAACACTTAAAATAAATTCTGCACTCTTTCAGGCCTGTTCGTTCTTTCTGTGGTTTTAAGCACTGTATATCATTGAGGCTAAGGACTGACAGGTTTTACTCTGGTAAGATCACAACTGCATTCCACAAACAGTGCAATTTGGAGATGGAAGTGTTTTTGATATATCAATTCAACATCTTGAAAAATTAAGCCCCTAAATGATGCTATCCAGGATGAAAACAGTTACATATAGTTTGAGAATTATTTCATAAGTTCCAACAGGCAGAAAAGACTATTGGGCTAGTGTAGGTCATACTAGTGTAGGTAGCTGTTCTGTCTCCAATGGTATGAACATCGGAGAATGTGAATCTGGACGATACTCAGTAAGTTTTTAATCATTAATACTTTGAAAATTTATGCTTGGCCAATAGATGAGTGGAAAGAATCCATGGCAGACAAATGTAGCACACTTCTCTTGAAGAATGTACTTCTAACTGAGCAGCTGCAACCAGATGCAGAATGCAACAACTCAAGCATTTAAGCAGGGTTAGATTTCCACATCAACACCCAGACTGAATTCAGATATTTTTTTGTAACCTACCATTCCAAAAGATAGCATAAAGTCAAGCATACTTACCGTAGGAAGCTAGTCACTCGTGGAGAATGCTTCCAATGGTGATACACAGAAATCTGCAGGTTGGGATGGGCTTTATATACTTTCATAACTATCCTGATGCTGTAAGAATAATTTGAAGAGGAAACTCAGCTTGCTGGATAATACAACGAAGAAGAATGCTTTCATACAACGAAACAATAGCTTTGCTACCAGAAGAAGCATGCACTAATCCAGTGGTCGCCAACCAGTGGGTCGGGGACCACTGATGGTCCGCGAGAAAATTTTGGTGGTCCGCAGAGAAATGTCACCCCCAAAGCAATTAATCCAGACTGTGCGGGAACACAAGGCTGCACTGCCCACATGTCCCATGGAAACACAAGGCTTGTGTCACTTGCATTGAGAACAACACAGGGTAGTGAGGGGAGGGGAGAAAGGGTGGGGGGGGGACTTGCCCCACTTGCCTCATGCGCTTTGCCTGGCCACCGTGCTGCTTCTTTCCGCTTCTTTCTTTTTCTGCTTTTGGCTGCATGAAACCAAAAAGCAACAAGTCTTTCTTTCTCTCCCCCAAACTCCACCAGAAATGAGTCTTTGGGACCTGCAAGGCATCTTGCTCCAAGAGGCTGCGCTGGCATGACAAGTCTCACAAAGACTCATTTCTGGAGGAGTTTGGGGAAGAGAAAAAAAGAGTTCTGCTGCTTTCTTTGCATGAAGCCAAATATATATATATATATATCTCTCCCTGAGAACTGAGCTGGAGAAGGTATCCTGCGATCATAAAAAATGATCGATTGGTAGGAAGACGGAGTGGGGAATTTTCCTGCAGACTTTTGGGGGGATTTTCTCAGCGTTTCTGCTCCGCGGGATTTAAAATTATGAGTTTGGTGGTCCCTGAAGTCCAAAAGGTTGGCGACCCCTGCACTAATCAATGCTGGGAAACTGCTGCCTCAGCTATAGTCCCAAAGGTGCTTTTTCAAGAAGCAATTGGTTTTTCTGATTTTTTTTCTTTGAAAATGTTTCGCTTCTCATCCCAGAAGCTTTTTCAGCTCAGAGCATATACACTGTTATTTTTGAAACTTCTAAACTCAAGTTTTTGCACCCCCTAGAATATCGTCTCACACCCCTGGTTGGGAATCCCTGCACTGGAACATCAGAGACAGATGATCGTCCAACTCTGAAAATCCCTAACAAAAGTGAACATACAATGGCAGCCTGGTCCATAGGCTGATAGCCCAGTTGGAAAATTGCATATTCAGGCACAATTGGGATTTTAATCGCATACTCTTTTAAATGATTGGAGAGCAGGAGAAACTGGTTCTTTCTTAGCCGACGGACATCAAACCTGCAGAAAGACCTCAACTCTTGATGAATCTGCTCTTCAGTTGCCCCACGCCACCCCTTCACAGTGGCTAGTAGGAGGGGTGGACGTGTTGTTAGGTCATCTGCACCAGAAAAATTCTGAGAAAATAAGAGCACCAGAAAGATGTTTCAGACTAATTAGTTGAACCATTATAGCATTCTATACAAAACAGATACACGCTGTATTGATGGCAAAATCCAAGTCCAGTTGACTTTAGCTGATCTAAAAGAAAAGTTGGCCAATACTAGTATGGAAAACAAGCAGGGAATCCCAGAGTTATAGGTTAGAAAGGAGATGATAAAAACCATTCAGGAAGAAAGTAATAATGAAACATTTCTAATGTTGTTTGTACTTAACAGATCTTGGGAACAAGAGGAATCATCAAAGCAATAAAGGGAGGAAGCAGAGCCATCAGAGAAGAGGTTCTGGAGTCCAAGGGATGGGTAGAATTGTGAGAAACAAATTCAAAGTTACTAGCTATCTTTTTTGCCCATTTTTACAGACACAACTCTAGGCAGAGCAAAACAACAGTATAAATAAATAAATCACTAGGAAAAACCTGGTACCTCAGCCATTCCCCTCCAATGCAACTAGATTTCACACTAGGTATAAGTTGATCTGGAGAATTATTTTGGCAAGTTTTCAAGGTTCTGTTACATTGTCTTGCTGGCATTAAATATCTTATCCAGAAATCCAAGTGAAACTTGCTTTTTAAGGTTGGCAGCTTCGGTGGGATTGGCAACATTGCTGCAGAACAAATTGCATGGCCTGATGCAGAAAACCACCAAGAATTGAGTACAATTCAAAAACGCCATACCATCATAGATTGCAACGGTTGCAAAAGACCTCGGAGATAAGCTACTTCAACTCCTTGTCCACTGGGGTTTCTACTTCTACAGCATAATCTTTACTCTCTTTAATAATGTTACATGGTTGGGAATCCTGGATTTGATATTCAGGATAGGTAAAACACACTTGGCAGACTATAATCCTGCAAGCGTGAAATGTAAATTTGAAACAATTAAATTTCTTAAGAATCAATGCTCTTGAAATGTAAGTTCACTGTGAGGTTACATGTAATGTGAATGTTTAAAAGGAATTTGCTTTTAGAGATTAAATAATGACCAATCACACGAGTCTGTAATTAAGGATGGCAATGTAGCATCAGTATATTTCCCCCTTGAATTCCAGGCCATCATTTGATCCTTTCCATTTGTAAAAAAGTTACATAATGGAGTTGGTGAAAATATTTGAATACTGAGACCTCAAAGCAAGATAGGAGTTTTCTGTCATCACTACCCTCTTTTCTTTATATCGCATCAGATCAAAGGGAATGATATACTGCTGAACTTCTGCCCAGCCACATTCAAACTCAAAAACAAAGAGGGAGTGGAGAAAAACAAACAAACAAACCTCCCTGACATGCCGGTGGGGAGGGACACACACACACACACACACACACACACACACACACAAATGTCAAAAAAAACCAGTGAGAAAATCAAAGAAACTGCATGCTGCTCAGATGCCCATATTTAGAGAAAACAAAATGTTGTCAACGTTGAGAATTAATGATGTTCCCAAACTTCATGATAGCCTATTTTAGGTGGGTCCCTGGAAAGATATGTATTCAAAAGACTCTGGAGACTCACTCTAAAATTTGATGTATTTGAGATGAAGACTGATTCTCTATTCATAAGAACTAGAGTAAAACGTTTAGTCAAATGTGGCAAACCAGGACGTGTAGTCAACTGCCTTTATTATTGTGCTAGTGAAGATTATTAATCAGAAAAATTGGATATTTATTTTCTTCCTATGATATGAACAACACGTATGCTGCCCATAACAGTATCTTAATAAATGATCCTGTTTTGCCTCCTTGCCTACATGGGGAGAAAGGGAAAGAAGCAGGGGAAGAGAGAAAGAGAACCTTAATTTCACAATTCCTCCCATAACAGATGCAAGCTCTGTAATGGAAAAAGTAGGCTCCTCTAGCTGCAAAAATCATGTTTCTTCGTTACCTAACAGAAAAAAGGGGAGTGGGAGAAGAATCTGATATAAGCAAATGGTGATGTGAAGAAGTAATTGCTTTAATTCCTTTTTTGTTTTTTTCAAACTCTGCATTTCAGCCTTTCACGGTGTAGCTATTACAAGCCTTCTGCTCCCAAACTCCTTCTCCCGGAGGCCCATTACATAGGCCAGAGGTAGGGAACTATGGCCCTTTTATGATCTGTGAAGTTCAACTCCTAGAATTCCTGAGCCAATATGGCTGGTTCAGGAATTCTGGGAGTTGAAGTTCACAGATTGTACAAGAGCTATAGTTCACCACCCCTTGTCACAGATCAACCCCTTTTTTAGGATTTTAGCAGATGAGGAAGGTGCAGTCTTTTTTCACCTGGGATGGAGGGTGGCCATAGCTCAGCTTTTGTGCTCTGATTAAAGACTCACAAAGGAAACTGCTTGTGATGTTGTGGCCTCACTGGGGCAGCAACCAATCCAATTTGGGGGTGGGAGGTGGGGAAATTTAAGGAATACAATTAGTGCCTTAATGAAGGATTTGCTACATCCATTACAAGACCCCTTCCCCAATTAAAACAGGGTTCAAATAGTTAGCCCTGCCTATTTCAAGGGAAATCTGAAGCTGCTCCCCCCAACCTGCTAGCTTATGTCTTTTCATAACTGGCTGATGTAATCCCTTTGTATTTCATACTCACAATTTTCTGAATTGCGCCTCGAATCAAGTTCACTTGATTCATGTATGCAGCTAATACGTCAAGGTACTGAGAAAAAGTTGGTGCTGCTGTTTGATGACTAAATGAAAGGAAATAAGGTAAGTTTTAATAATTTAACGAAGTTGCATTGGAGACCAATACCATGACTTCAGTGTATACATGCCAAATTCCCATTTAATGCTTTTTGTCCAGCTTAAAATGTTTGTTCTTTAAAGTAAAGAATATATATAGATTTAGACAATTTGCACCTTTTTAGCCTAATAATCATCATATACAATATCCCAGTATGTTTCTTCAGTTTCATTTTTTTGGTAGTTTTTGAACTATCAAATCCAAGCTTAAAGCTTCTTTTTCAAGCAAAAATACTTCCAACACTGTAACCTTTCCCTTATGCAAAAATGGCTCCATTCTTCTATAACCTCAGTTGATTTATTCATTTCCTTTTTCCAAACCTACAATAGCTACCAATTTTACCAGAAATATACATATCATTTCATGTGTAACATAAATATGGAGAAATTTATCTCTGTCTCTAAGATGTGATGTCTAACTTTATCCATAGCAACTAAACATACTTATTCAACAAGTGATCCAGAATTCAAAGGCCTCCTGACTAGTTACCATTAATTCAAATCCTAAAAGGGGCATGTTACTTAGGATTTTTATCTCTTGCCGTAAAAGAAATTCCTTTAAACTTCCTTCAGTCAAGAATATGACATTTGGAGTTGTAACTACTCTAAGTAATTTGTTGGGGTTAGCAAATTTATTCACCTCTCTGATAACTCTGACTTTCAGAATATTTATCAGTTATATAGATGTTCCTCACAGCATTCAATAAAAAAATTAATTACTGCCATTCACACTTATCATTGAAAGGTCAAACTGTTACTTACCCAGTTTTTCTGCAAAGGAGCAAGTGAGCTATTTTAAGAAGAACTAGAAGAAAGGATATGTATATAGTTATATATATCTATTGTTAGTTACTACCGGTTTAAGTGCTGTGACTGGAAAAATAAATGGGGAAACTGTTAAGTGAAAAGAGAATCCCATAATGATCTTCCCCTACTCTAGCTCCTACAAAGCATTAAGAGATCTGGGTCTTTGGATGAAGTACAGGTTTACTGGAGACAGGTGGGGGTGACAAGGATTTGCCCATTCAGTCATTCAGACTTAAGCCGATCTTGAGGGCACCCAACTTATAAATCCTTCAAATATTCCTTTATTTGCTGAATTGCAAAAGCTACAGTAGTAAGATTATGGCTAGTTCCTTAGCTAAGAATGTACAACCATTCCCAAAAGGACTGAAATATGTACTCTTGCAGGAGACACAAATATTACTATTTCATTTGCTTTTTAAAAATACAGTAATGGAACAGAGAGAATGATAAGAGTAGTCCTTGCTAAACAAGCATTAATTCAGCAAGCATTCAAAGTTATGTTATGACTGGACCTCAGAGTTATAGAATAGAATAGAATTCTTTATTAGCCAAGTGTGATTGGACACACAAGGAACTTGTCTTTGGTGCATATGCTCTCAGTGTACATAAAGAAAAAATAAAATATATTCATTGAGAATCATAAGTTTATGATTATGGCTGTTTTTATGGTTTTTTATGGTTATTTTTATATATAAAATAATATTTTATATACATATATATACATACACACACACACACACACACACACACACACACACACATATATATATATATATATATAATTATAAATATATTATATATATATATATATATTATAAATTATACACACACACACACAGACTAAAAGTATGGTTATGGCTGTTGCAATGCCTCTGCAGCTGTGTCATTACATAGCAATAGCACTTAGACATATACTGCTTCTTAGTGCTTTACATCCCTCTCTAAAAGGTTTACAGAGTCAGCATATTGCCCCCAACAATCTGGGTCCTCATTTTATTAACCTCGGAAGGATGGAAAGCTGAGGACCAAACTGCTGGCAGTCGGCAGATATAATCTGCAGTACTGCATTCTAACCACTGTGCCACCATGGCTCCAAAATTTGGGCAGTCCATCCTTATTTCTGATTGCAGCATTCACTTCAATTCCTCCTACTTCCCTATCCCACCCCATCTCTAGCCTTTTGGCTATCCTGCATTCCATGTAAACCTACCCCTGCTACCCCTCGCTGACCTTTGCCACCTTCTTACTTCTACTGTTGAGGTACCCAAAGCATTGCAAAGGGAAGTAGCTGCCTCAGCTAGCAGAAGTGTAAAGTCATTTCCTAACACCAGTATAACTCTCACTTAACCAAGCAAAGGGATTCACGGAACTACCATTGCCAAGAGGTGCAGTCATGTGATGTTTCACCTAAGAAACCACTTCAGTTAGCAACAGAAATTCCGATGCCAAGTAGGATAATTAAATGAAGACTGTCTGTAAATGGAAATCAGAAGAGTTCCAGCGGGGAATTTACTTTTCAGAGGAAAAACATACGAGTATATTTTTTTAAAATGAGTTATCCATGTAATTTCACTAGCAACAAATGAAAATTTATAGATTTTATATATTCATGAGCTGTGAAGGACAGGATCCAGACGTTCTACCTGAAAGCAAAAGCTCTAACTATGCTGAAGTTTTTCTTTCTACAATATAGCAGAAAATAGGACAGAAGCTACTTAGTAGCAGCATAATTCTATAAAGAGCCCTGGTGGCATAGTGGTTAGAATGCAGTATTTCAGGCTAATTCTACCGGCTGCCAGCAGTTTAATTCTCATTGGCTCAAGTTTGACTCAGCCTTCCATCCTTCCAAGGTTGGTAAAACAAGGACCCAGATTGATGTGGGGAAATATGGTGACTTTGTAAACCACTTAGAGAGGGCTGTAAAGCACTGTGAAACGGTATATAAGTCGAAGTGCTAGTGCTGTAAGTGTAAAGCCACCAATTTCCCACCGCTTGGGTAGTCCATATCTGGAATTGGAAAAAAGCCTCAAAAAGAAATACATTTGATTCTTAAAGATAAAGCACATACCTGCTCCACAGAGGAATGCATCATAGGCGGCCTCATGAGGACACTTATTTATAGCTGAAAGATTTCAAATGCAGAGAAAAGGTAAAACATGGAAAAAGAACTAGTCATATAAAAGAAGCTAGCTGATGTTTTAATAATTAAAAGGGCTATATGAACCATAAATGAACAGAGTAACCATAATAATTATACTGGATTTACAAATAAAATCTTGTGACAAGGGACAAAGAAAAACTGAAAGGAAATAAAGTTTTGCAACATTATTTGAATGCACTGAAGAGTAAGATTGTTAGAATTAATAGTAAGGAATATAAAGTTGGTTTATTTGATTAAAATAAAGTTATAAATGTATATATGATATAAAAATGTTTAAAATATTAAGACACGTTGATAAATCTATAAATAATAAAGAGAAGAGATCATTTGTTATATTTAAGAGATGATAAACTAATAAAAGTATTCATATTTGTTAGGATGAAGATGGAAAGTCACTTCTTTGTAAGTTTTTCTTTTTCTTTACTATATTTAAACTTTTCTTTCTTTTCTATTTTTCATTTTCTTCTTTTCTATACAGTCTAATTTTTATTCTTTTCTATATAGTTTAATTTTTATTCTTCTATTTTTGTTTAGTTTGTTTTTTTAACTTTTATAATTACAATCTTTAATAAAGTTATTATTTAAAAAAGAGAATGTAAGTAATAGTAAAAGTTCCCTTTGCTATTCCTTATGGATAAAGAATAAGACAGCAACAGAACAGATAACTCTGTAAAGTTCAGAGGTGCCACCTACACCCCTTTCAAAGAATACCTGAGTGTTTGTTGCAATGAAGCTAACTGAACCTTGTGACAGCTCTCAAATCTATGCACATTAATGTGATCTCTTCTTCAAGATTATGAAAAATCTCTTCAAACTAAGCAAAGGACATTTTTTAGATTTACCAGTGATAATGGTTACATGGTAAGAGTTTCATTCCAAACCAGACGTACCGTATCTGAAGGAATCATCTGAGTGAAAGATCTCTGGACAAAGCTGGTCTGTTGGATTCACAATGCTGCTAAGAGGCAGAAATCATTTTTAATTCCTGCATGTTTCTTTCTGACAACCCTTCCCTCCCTCCTCCTCCACATCCACTCTTATGGCTCCTTTGAAAAAGAGAAATTGAATGGACTAGAATTTCTAGAGTAGGCCTCCAGAGGTCAGATCTAAAGACCTCATACCGCTATTTTATGCTCTCCTGTAACTTAACACCATTTATATAAGCTTCCTATTGTCAGAAACTATGCATATGTCAATCCTATAAAGCAGACGAGAACGAAAAACAGCATATAGGCCTCAAACTACTTTTATTAAAATTGGCTACAGTAACGCAAACTGGCAAGTATGAATATGTTCTGCTCAATCCTATTTTGTCTATCAGGTGAAGTTTATGTATATGTGTGTTTCTGGATGGATGTCTGCTTAAGACATTTTTGCTCCCAGTTCTCAAATCTGGGATTCTGCAACCTTTATTTCTATCAAGGTCATCCTCCTGATGGTCTATAGTATTGCAGATTTACGATCACGACATCAGAAAATTCTATAGATAGACAGACTTTAATGTTATCCTAAAATCTGCTTCTGTACTGAGAATGACAAGACTTTTGGGCAATACATTGGTTGTTTATTCCTCTTTCAAATGTCAAAATGAACGATGTGCCATCTAACTACATCTAAATGAAAGAAATACTGAAGAGTATGGAACTAAAACACCATTTGATTCCTGAGAGTTTTTACTGGAATAATCGGTCAGTGAAATGAAATAGTTATTAAGATTACTAATCAGATATTTAATGATTGAACAGGGACGAGTTCAAGAAAGAGGCATTTGGCTGACCTGCACAGTGTTTCATACAATTCGAAAAGATAAGAAACTTGACGAAACTGGAATTCCTGTGTTGGGAAAGGTGGGGAAAAAAAAGAAAAGTTTTTAGCTGCCACAGATATGAATCAATTGGCAAAGAATAAAAGAGACAGTAAAAGTATGGAAGTCAGAAGGAAGGTGTGAAACCCACTGTGCTTCTGAATTTTCCTATAACCTTTGTTTTCCTATGGGGAAAATGAGATTACCCATTTCACTATTAAATTTTCTATGCTATGAATGCAATACCCTTAAATAAGCTTGGAATTTACATGCACCAAAACTGATTTAACATATTTTTATTCTAGTTCCTCCGAAAACACATCTCATCTTCATCAGCTACCCCTCCTAAAAACGGCAAGCCTGGGGATATAGAATTCTATTTTGAAACTCAAGGAAAGCCAGCCCTATTCCCCTTCCTATAATGAAGATAAATCTTATCAGCCTGCACATTGGAGATTAGTGTGTGGAATTTACAAAGCAGACCTCAAACAGGGACATCGCCTTGTCACTCTGAGCCAAGCCAGTGGTTACATCCTTCCAATTCATTTTTTTCGTAAGTTCAAAAAGAGAAGTTTTTATTTGCTCAGCCCTAAAATATACAATTTTTAATATATGTAATATTCAGGTTCCCCAGGAACCTACCAACATTTTCTTGCAGTGTCTGCAGCACTGAGTTCATGAGCCTGGGACTTACGATGAAATGGACCAGAAGCTGGCAAATCACTTCTGCTGAACTCTGGGATTATTGCTCCTCTAAGGAGTATTGAACAATGAAAAACAAAGAGTAGGCTTTCTTGATCTTTATTAAAAGGGGGAAATGACTATGTGCTCATTTATTTATTAAACTAAAATACTTAATTTGAAAGTGTTCGATATTAACATTCTCGAAATCCTGAGTTCTGATTGGTCCATGCGGACCACAATCTGATTGGCTAACTAAACTACTCTGATTGGTGCGCTAAGAATCCATCGCGATTGGCCGAGCCGATCACGGGAAATTCAAAGCGCTGCCATTGGCTGCCGAGCCGCCGGCCGGCTGAATAAAGCCAAGCGGCTCGCAGGTCTTGGACCAAACTGTATATTCAATTAAGAGCTGAATGTGCACTTTGAGTCTCGCCTCTCTGTGCGACCCGATCTACCTGGGACCGATCTCCTGAACTTAACAGAAAGAAAATATAATATAAAAGTGACCGAGCTTGATCTCTTTAGTCTGGTAGTCCAAAACCATTCACTTTATGTTAATGGCACTTTATTGCCTCATGTAAGTGGGTTTTTGCTTTCCAGCCACAAACTGAGATCCTTCAGCTATTTAATCTGGGACATTAAGCATCCTTTAAAAAAAAAAAAGGCCCCTCACTTTGAGAGGAAGAAAGAAATCCAGATGAAAACAAGCTGGAACATTTTTAATAGTGGCAGAGAATGAAAATTACCTTCCACGTGGCTTTGGCAATGTTTTTTGTATCCAAAAGAACCGGAAACAGGAAGTGAATGTTATCTTTGAATTCTTCATAATTTTCTGAAGATTATAAGTAATAAAATGGGAAAAGGAGGGAGAACAAATTACCAACTTACAACCAGTTGATTAATAAGTGTTCAAAGTTACGAAGGAGCCCTGCTAAAGGTACTTATGACTTGGTTCTGAAGCTCCAAAGGCTGCCCTCCCCACAGTCACATTTACTTCTAGTTTTGACCAAAAATGTTCCCTAAAAGAGGGGTCCCCAACCCCCCTGGCTGTGGACCAGCACTGATCCGTGGCCCTCCAGGAACCGGTCAACACAAGTGAGCAAAGCCCCATCCACACACATGCAGGATCCAGGCAGCACGGAAAACTGCCTCCCATGGAACTAGTTCCTGGTACCCAAATTATTGGGAGGGTTTCTTACCATAGAGAACATTGGGTTCACTTAACAACTGTGGTAATTTGTTTAGTGACTGCCATCAAAAAAGGTTGTAAAATTGGATAGCTCATGTGGTTGACCTGCTTTACAACCATCAAGACTTATGACCATAATGGGCAGACTCCACTATGGTTGCAAGTCGAGACTATCTGTAATGCTTGCTTGTAAATTTATTAAGCTAATGCCATTAAACTTGCAAGAGACCCAAATTGCACCAGTTCTTTTCTAATAGCAAAGATGAAGAGCAATTGCTTAAGAGCTGAAAGAGGGATACGATAGATCCTATACGACTGGTATTCGAAATGGCTTTACCAGGAAGGGGCTTGTAAAATTTCTCGTGTAGATACAGAAGATCCATCAGCATATTGTGTCCCACCAGCGGCTACAGAGAGTGAAAATAAAAAACAACAACAAAACCAAGCAAAACTTGGTAAGATTGTCAGTACATCATTGCAATTCTGCATTGCTCCTTTAAAAACACGAAGTATAAAAAGTACTTCGTTAAACACTTCCAGCATCAGTGGCCCTACTAAATCTATTGTGGCTTTGTACAATTCTACTGGAATCCCATCTGGACCAGGGGATTTATTATTACTTTGATTCTCCATTGCGGATTTTAACTCAGACCATGTAATATCCTTATTTAATAATTCTTTGTCTCCTTCCCCTATTGTTTTATCATTCGTATTCTCCAGGTAAATTCTTATTTTGTCTTCATTGATTTCTTCTTTTTTATATAATCTTTGAAAATAGTTTAATATAATATCTTTTTTCTTCTCAATCTCATGTTGTGGTATGCCTTTCTTGTCTATTAGTTGGTGTATCAGTCTCTTTTCTTTTTCTTTTTTAAGTTTATAAGATAGCCATCTTCCTGGTTTATTGGCATGTTCAAAATAATTTTGTTTGGACCTTCTCAAGCTAACTTCTATTTTATCTTGTTCAATTAAATTCAGCTTATGTTTGGCTAATATTAACTGGTTTTGTAGTCCTTGGATCTTAGGGGTTTTTTGTAATTGTATTTCTAAGTCTTTGATTTTTTGTTGTAATACGTTTTGTCGGGCATAAATTCTCTTGTTTCTCATAGCATTATACGAAATTGTCGTGCCTCTTATAATTGCTTTCATAGTATCCCAAATATTCTGTTTTGAAGTTGTTTCATTATTATTATCTTTTAGGAAATAGTTTAGCTCCTCTTTCAGCTTATTAATATACTCTTCTTCATTTACAATTTGAGTGTTTAGTGTCCATCTTTTTTTTATTCCTCTCCTATCTCTCCAAATTAGCTGTATTGGATTATGATCAGTCCATTCATTCGGTAGGATTTTAATTTCTTTTATTTCATTAGCCAAATCCAAATCCATCCAAGCCATATCTATTCTAGTCCAAGTCTTATGTGGATTAGAATAGTATGTAAATTGTTTTCCTTCAAGATTCCGTTCCCTCCATAAATCTTTTAAATTTAACTCTTTCAACATTTCCTTACATGCCGCAGAAAGTTCCCTTTTCCCCTTCTTGTTTTTTCCCATATTACTATGGTCTCTTTGGTAGTCTGCAATGGAGTTAAAATCGCCAATCAAGCAAATGTTTCTTTTTTCAAAGCCTACTATTTTTTGGTGAAGGTGTTTAAAAAATGCCAGACTCATGGAGGGGGGCGTTAATTTCGTTAATTCTGAAGGAGGATGTAGATGCCAGGTATATCAACAATTATAGACCAATCTCACTTTTAAACGCTGATTATAAATTATTTACCTCAATTATAGCGAATAGAGTAAAACAAGTTTTAAATTTATACATTCATGAAGACCAAAATGGTTTCCTTCCATCCTGCCAAATCAAAAATAATTTAAGAACCGTTATTGACGTCTTAGAATATTATGAAGCTCATCCAGAGAAACAATTTGCACTCATGTTTTTAGATGCGGAGAAAGCATTTGACAACTTACATTGGCACTTTTTAATACAAAAAATCTATAACATGAGTCTGGGCACTAAATTCGAGAACATTATCACAACAATTTACAATACCCAACAAGCCAATATACTAATTAATGGTGAACAAACAGGCCCACTAAGCATTGAAAAGGGCGTTAGACAGGGTTGCCCTCTCTCACCCCTCTTATTTATATTTGCTTTAGAATCACTGTTAACGCGGATAAGACAAAACTCTGAAATCCAAGGAGTTAGGGTCAAAGCAGAGGAATATAAACTACAGGCGTTTGCAGACGATATGGTTTTTTTTCCTAGAGGAACCCATGGAAAAAGGACATAACCTAATAAAAGAACTAGAACAATTTGGTTCAGTAGCAGGACTAAAGATTAATAGAAATAAGACAAAATTACTGACTAAAAATCTAACAGAGAATCAGAGGGAAGAATTAGAAGAAACCATGGGGATACAGGCAACAAAAAAGGTCAAATATTTAGGCATATGGTTAACACCACATAGTAAATCGCTCAAAGAGAATAATTATGATAAACTGTTACAGCAAATTAAGAAAGATCTAGAATCTTGGAATAAGTTGCAGCTTTCTCTACTGGGCAGGACTGCCACGATCAAAATGAACATCTTACCAAAACTCCTTTACTTATTCCAGACAATCCCAATAAAATTACCAAATTTTTTTTTTAAAGATATAAATAAGGTAACTCTTAAATTTATTTGGCAAGGAAAAAAAGCTAGAATCAATATTAAGGCTTTACAAGATGCAAAAAGCAGAGGTGGGCTAGCGCTCCCAAACTGGGAATTATATTATTGGGCAGCTAACTTATTATGGTTAAAAGACTGGGTCAATTTACTGAATAAAAGAACTTTAGTCTTGGAAGGGCACGACCTTCAGAGAGGATGGCACGCATTTCTATGGGATGTGGGGAAAACTAAACAGTCGTATTTTCATAGACACCTTATTAGAGATTCATTATTAACTAATTGGAAAAAAATATGCAAAAAACATTATTCAAAAATTCCGATTTGGCTTTCAACAATGGAGGCAATGGTTCATCCCAACAATTTGGATATAACAAAAACGACTAAATATAAAGATTTATTAGACCTTTTAGGAAAATCAAGAACTTGACAGGACTTACAGGAACAGGGATTTAAAATTGACCAGTGGTTATATATACAAATCCACAGCAGATACAAACAAGATATCAAAGAGTTTGGAATCTATAGCAAATTACAATATTTAGATAAAATTTTATTAAGATCAAATAAAAAGAATATCTCCAAATTTTATAAATATTTATTGGAGGTAGAATTAGAGCAAGAGATAGTGAAAGGGAACATGATAATGTGGAGTAGGAATATTGGAAGAAGCATTACATTAACAGAATGGGAAAAGATCTGGAATAGAAACATCAAGATTACGAAATCCGCGGCGTACAAAGAAAATATGTATAAAATATTATATAGATGGCACTTACCCCCTTTGAGGTTAGCGAAAATGAACCCAAACACTAGTCCAAAATGCTGGAAATGTAAAAGCATAGAAGGAACCTACTTTCATATGTGGTGGTCTTGCAAACAAGCCCAGAAATACTGGCAAAAAATCAGAAAATGGTTGGAGGAGATAACCAAAGAACAAATCGAATACAAACCAGAGTTCTTCCTACTAGGGATCTCTGATAAACATTTACCTAAAAAGATGAAATATGTAACAATTCATATCCTAACTGCGGCCAGATTAGCATTTGCCCAGTGCTGGAAATCATCCTATATACCCACAGAACAAATGGTCATCCAGAAAATATGTGACTGTGCAGAAATGGACAAATTAACTATAGCACTTAAAAATAAAGAGTCTTCAACATTTTATGATAATTGGAATTCGTGGTATAACTGGTTATTTCAGAGATAAACTGCTTAATGAACAATGGGTAATTTAAGCATAGATATTGATAAGATGTGTGTATTTAAAGTAAGGTAGGAGAATTGGATCTTGCAGACTGTCAAAAAGGATATCTGTTTGTTTTTAAATGTATTTTCTTTTCTCTTCCGTTTCTTTCTTTCTTTCTTTCTTTTATATCTCTTTTTCTCTTCTTTTTTCGGTTCGCAAGACCGAGCGTTTTTTTTTCTTTTTTCTTTTTCTCCCTCTGTTGTATATGTAATGTCGATATGTTTTTAATTGTAAACTCAATAAAATTTATTTAAAAAAAAATAAAAACACGAAGTATAATTTGCTTGCTAGAGCTATGCTTTGCAGAGGGCATTCTTCCAAACCCAGGGACAAACTGCAGGTAATGCAGAACATAAGTAATGTAATGGAAGTGAAATTGTAAGTTGTGGTCATATGATTTTATGGCTTAGCAGCCATATTGCTTCACTTAGTGGCCAAAGGTTGAAAGGCCAGATGACATGAAAGAAACTGGGCCATTCAAACAAGTGAAACACCATCTGTGGGATGCAGACAGCATACGAAACCACGCCCCCCGCCCGGTCTGCAGAAAAACCTCTCTCCATAGAACTGGGCCCTGGTACCCAAAAGGCTGGGGAGGGGCTGCTGTTCTAGGACTAGTTCTGCTCTCCACCCTCCTATCCTTCTGCAAAAGCCTGAAGACCTGGCTCTGACAGGTGGCCTGGAGCCCCAATGGGAGAGTTCCAGGCTGGAGGTAGTTACTGGACTGATGACAGATTCCACCTCTCCTCCCCCCTTGCTCTCTGCTCCCCACACGTCCATCTTTTTTGGTTATCATATTGATGTATTCTCATTGTTTTCTTTTTCTTGTTCTGTTATTTCGGTTTTGTTGTCACTCTTTTCATTTCTTCCTTTTCATTGTTGTAAGCCACCTAGAATATTCCCAGGGTGGGAATACCCAGGCAACAAATAAATTTAATAGCAATAAATAAACATTTTGCAACTCAGGCTTTTATCATGAACGGACTTTCTAACAGAAAACTGGGCTTTACCTTCTTAGCTCTCACAAGTGTCTGGAAAATGTTGGTAAAGCCCCTTGCGGAATAAAGAATTTGTTCTCTCTGACATGGATCAAAAGCCGTGTTTTCCAGGACCCAGCGGTATTGTGGATTCATCTTTCTCACCATCAACTAAGAGATAAGAAGAGCAGTTGTCAGTAACTCATTCTCTTTTGTTACCTCCGCTTGCGTGAATGTTTAATATACTCGGCCTTTTTAACTGTCAAACCATATTTGTCTGTTCAAACTGATGGTGTTTGGTACATTTGTTATACAGTATTTAACAGAGAGAATTTTTCAGTCTACAGTGACTGGAGAAAAATCTAGGCAATTTTTAGGAGGCAGTTATTCAGGAGGCAGGGAAGATTTTTCACTCTAGACATAAGCATTTTCTGTTTCAACTGCATCGGGTTTTCCCTTGCCACATCTATGTGCGTTTCCTTTGGACAAAATATAAATAAAAATAAAAGGAAGTTTTCTAAAGAATGCAAAATGTATATGCAGAATTGTATCTATATAATTTCACTCCATTTAGTATTGCATTAATAAAATTTAAAGCACACAAATGCTTAGTCTTTTTTATTTGTATTAAAATTCTCAAGAAACACAGTATCATTCATATATATATATATATGTATATGTATATATATATATATATATATATGAATGATACTGTGTTTCATATATATATTTGCTTAAACTTTCCGGGTACTTACATGTATGGTATTCAGCTTTGTTCGGATATTTTCCCACGTCATTATAGTTGTGCTTTTAAAGTTGTAGAACATTTCGGCAGAATCTCATCTGCCATCATCAGGCTTTTGTACTGTGTTCATCTGTGAGTCAAACTTTCACAGCCGTTTCAGTTTATTGGCCCAATAAACACAGACCAAGACTCCCAACCAATCAGGATGAAGAAAAAACCATTCTGGCACAGCATAGGCTAGCACCAAATTTAAAAAAGAAACAGCTGTGAAAGCCTGACTCACAGACGAACACAATACAGAAACCTGATGATGGCAGATGAGATTCTGCCGAAACATCGCTACAACTTTAAAAGCACAACTATAATGACGTGGGAAAATACCCGAAACAAAACTGAATACCATATAGATAGATAGATAGATAGATAGATAGATAGATAGATAGATAGATAGATAAACAGACAGACAGACAGACAGACTCAAGAGTTTCTACGGCATGAGAAGTATTTAAATTTTCAAAATCTAAAAGAAGAAAACTCTCCTGCATACTTTTTTTGTATTCAATAAGTAAATAATGAAGTGCGATATCTAACAACCAATTACAAGATTCAACTAACACAATTTGTAGAATCGATGAAAAATTAGTGTAATGGACAAAGAGTTAAGCATTCAGAGATAACTCCCCATTTAATCTTAGCTCAAACTTTTATGCCTTTTTAGAAAAATATAACTTCATTTATTAATAGTTAACCCCCATTCCTTGGGTCACAATCTTATATTAATATTTTAAATAGAAAGTCACAAAATAATAATACCTTTGTTATTACTGTCTGTTCATTGAAAACAATATCTTTATGCCAAATTTCATTACTTTCTACTCTTCTTCAATCCGTTTTTTCCTGTTCTACTTATCTGTTTTCATTTCATGCTAGCTGGTTTCACAGTTTAATCGAGTTCTACTTGTCCAATGACACAAAGCCCAAAAATTCTTTATAAAATTATACTGCAAATTTTCCCTTAAGACAATCACTACCTTTATTCTTCTTCTATATTTCAAATAGTTGATTATTTCAATATTCAGTATTTTCACTTACATATAGCATAAGCCGCTAATAGAGAAGTATAGCATAAGCCACTAATGTAGCAAGTATAGCATAAGCTAATAGAGAAGTAATTTATGTAATTTGCAAGGCTATATCATAAGCCAACTTTGTTCTGTACCTAGTGATATGACAAACCTAATTTAACAACTACAGTACTTTTGTATAATCCCAGCTAAACGTTTGTCAGAAATCTCAATGTTACAAACAATGGCAGGGACAGACTGACTTTGAGGATCTTAATACATATACCAATCTTACCTAATATCCTACAGTATTAAACTTACTTTTTCGTCTTCCAAAGGAATAGTCCAAATATCTGGAAAAGCTTTTCTTAGAATGAGCTGTAGTTCAATTACTTGAAAGCCTGTAAGACAAAGTGTAAATAGCATAATGGAAAGTTGAAAATAGTATTATTACAATATATTTTTCTGTGTCTAAAAAGGTTCTTCGGCCTTGCATTAAAGCATTTAAGTGAGAAATTCATCGCAGTTATACAATTGAATGATGCGGAGACACCAAGGAAAAATGTTAATAGAACATAAGAAATACACATACCAATAGAAATGAGAATCATACAAATTTTCTTACCCTTTTTTCAGTACATTTTTTATTATGGTTGGTCACACAATCAACCAATTGTTTAGACTGGATTTGGCATTTTTATTCACCTATTAAGTCTTTCCTGAGGCCGAGATAAGCCAATGTTGTTATTTGATGGGGTTAACGGTATCATCAGATACCATAATGACATAGATACTGTCAACCCTGAAGCTGATCTGACTGAAGCCATTTTGAAGCTTCAGTGTTGCCACACTGGAGCTGAGGGATAGGGAGGGGGGAATAGAGATAACTGGGGTTGTGTAGCCAAAACAAAATACATTCTCATGAGAACTAAGGACATTCTCACACCTGTCAGAGAGAGGAGTGATGTTACCCAACAACTGAACAGCACCCTGATTGGACCATGTGACTGATTGATTGGTGAAGGGGAAAAACTTTTACTTTTAATTAGGTAAAAACCAATAAAACTATTCTTTGAGGAATCTACCTACCTCAGAGTTTTCTTTGCTATATGGATGTATTACTTGGAACCCTGACACTGTTCCAAGTAAAGCTGCCTTTTGCTATTGACTGATGGCAATTTTGTCAATGCCAATGATGTTTAAGTGGTGCTCCAGATGTTTTGGGATTGCACCCAGGGTGCCTATTAGTATTGAATATTTTTGCTTTCTTTTGCCATAGTTGTTCTACTTCTATTTGCAGGTCTTTGTGCTTTGCAATTCTTATGGTTGGTTGTATGGCTAGCCAGATGTTTAGAGTTGACATTTTTATCTATCCATCAAGTCCTCCCCAAGGATCTGGGATAGAGAAGGACTCAAGAGGTGGATAAAAATGCCAAATCTAGTCTTATTATATTGTTATCCCACCGTTTTTATTTATGTATTTATATATTTCTATCATCCCAAAGGTTTCATATCTACTGTAGCCATACTAAGCAGCAAACGTATCTAATTCTCCTGCCTCCTATTTTCCCCACAACCACCCTGTGAGGTAGGTTCAGTTGAGACAGAGTAAATGGACCAAAGTCACACAGTTGACTTTCATGCCTAAGGCAGGACTAAAACTTAGTCTCCTAGTTTCTAGTCCAGCATTTTAATCACTAAAACAAACTATATATAGCAAACAAATATACACTTTCAAAATTATAGCCTCTCCCCAATGCAAAAAAACAAAACAAAACCCTGCACCATTTCAAAACAGAGTTTGAAGGGAAATGTCCATATCAAAAACACTGACCCTTTTGTTAAAACATTGTACTCATGAATAGAGTTATAGTTTATGAACTATTTCACATAGATATGTATATTACACACATATTAATAGCTATAGCTCCCTGAAATAAGTCTCTCTCATGCCACACTACCAATACACACACACTCATGAAGGAGAAAAATTATACATATTAAGACACACACCCCCAAAGAGTGGGGGGGAAGAGTTTTGATGTTTTGAAAGAGAAATGAGACAAAATATCAAAAAAGTCACTGAAGCAAGGCTGGGAAAGAAGAGAGTCTTTGTTATCCCCTCACAGCCTGTTTCAAGTTTGGAACCAAAGAAAAGGCGAATTCGAGATAAAAGTAGAAATGGTTAATATGTTTTAGCCACATTCTATACCACATTCTTGGCTTATATTCCTTTGTTGTGCTAAAGTCTGAATATTTTTATTTCTCTGTACTTCTCTTAAAATAATTCCTATATTTATGCATTCTGAAGGCATGTCCAAAATAAATCCTTGCTTTCTCCAGGCTAATACTTCTCAAAGTGTGATCTGAGGATCACTGGGGATTCCCCAAGACCCTTTCAAGACCTTTCAGGTGGCCTGCAAAGTCAAATAACTAAATAAATAATTTAAAATACTCAGGTTTAATTTGCAACACAGGAAATATTGATAGATCTAACATAAATAAAACAAAGCCCTCTGGACTCCTCAATCATTTTTAAGAATGCAAAGGGGTCTACCAGAATATTGTATTTCTTTTAGGAATCTTTTTTGTTTCTATACATTTCTATTTTATTTTTAAACAACTTTAAATTATGTTTTATCTTTCCTTTTTAAAATAAAGAAGATTTTGTTTCTCTCTTATGGGCTAATTCCTAATGCGGGGTATGGGAAAGACTGAATCCTTTAGCCCTGTGTTTGCATGCTCTATGGCCACAAAGTGGCTTTGCAGATACAAATTAAACTTTTTTAATTTTTAATCTCTGAAATACATCTGTCTCACAGTCCAGAGTTGGGGTAGAAAGCCAGGTGAGGCAGTTCCTGAAAGACAGGTGGTGGCAGAAGAATTATAAAGATACTATCAATAATTGTAATGATACATTTGAATTTGATTGGGGGGATGGTTATGACAAGATTACTGCCTTTGCAAGGTATACCATAAAGCAAGTCATTCCACAAAAGTCTTTATTACATGTCGTTCGAATGGTTCGAAACTATAATTATCCCCTTTAAAGTGAATACTGCTCCCTAAACCCAAGAATATAAAAAAAGATTTTCAAGGCACCAATAAACAAATTTAAAAATATAAGAATCTTAATTAATTCATACCATATATATCATGCAGAACCATAGAATCTTCCTCTTCTGCTGAGGATATCCAGCAAGTTACTTGATCAATCACTTTTTTCACCTTGTCTTTATCAAAACTACAGTAAGCAGAGTAAGACAATTGAATGACACTATTGTCCAGCCCAGCCTTTTCCGTACCTTCAGGTTCCCAGAAAATTAACTCTATTTCTTAATAATAAATCTCTAAAAAGGTCCAGCTTCTCAATAAGATGCCTTCCAGAGGCCAAAGCAAATAATAACTTAGTTGTCCTATGATTTTTTTATCATCCCAAAGTTTCATATCTGTCTATATCTGTGGATGTATTAGGCAGCAAACATATCTCATTCTCCCGTCTCCCATTTTCCTCATAGCAGCCTTTACTGGTCAGACAGAATGGTGAGTTAGATACCAATTATCATACAACAAGATGCCTTCACAATGCTTCACAGTTTTTATTAGTAGCCCAATGACTTTTCTTGATGTAAACAATAAATAAAAATGTTATGTTTCTGTAATGAGGAAGACCGAATCCATCTCTAGGAAAATTGTAACAAAAAGGACAGAGCAGGTAGCTGAGACAGAAGTGGAAAATATATGAGTAGTGAGCTGTCTAATGCAGCACAAAACATATACTGAAGATGAGAAAGAACAAATGCTGTGAATTTGAAGTTAAATAAAAGGCAACAACTTACAAGACTAGAAAAGCAAAATGGCCACAGAAATGTGAGAAGGAACACAGACAAAAATTCAGGAAGAATGGCAGACAATTAGAGGAAGACTGTGAGAAGAGGATGTCTGAAATTAAGACCCTGGGTCTTTTATCTAGCAGGGAATTGCTTTTTAATTTATCCTAAGGCCTATCAATAAATCTACCAAAGAATCTGTATGTCATACAATATAAACAAAACTTTTTCAACAAAGGATTTCTGTATGTTTAGAGGCCTTTTATTATATTAATCATTCACATTTTAAAGACTTTAAATGACAACTGAAGTCTCAGTTAGACTATTTCTGAATTTCAGTTCTTGTAGAGTGCCATTGGCTGATAGCTACTGTTCTAAGAAGAAGGAATTTGTCACTCCAATTACTTAAATGCATAAAGAAACACAGGAGAAAAAACACAACATTAGTGTGGAAACAATCGTGTGGAAAAGGGTTACCTTTGGACCATCCAATTACCAGATAACAGATGCTGAAGTTTCTTCTCTTGTGTTTCATTCATATAAGGGATTCCATCTTTAAGAAACTAAAGGCAAATAGATAGTGTTACATAGTATGGAATTCAGGCATCAAGATAGTTTTCTCTTAAGAGAAAATCATGTATAATATCAGGATAAGTAAAAGCAAGTAAAGGTTCTCTCAGCTTGGCTTCTAATTACATTAACACATTAATATATTAAATCATAAGGTAGTCATTAAAATTCAAGATTTAAGAAAAACAAAAACATTTGTACTATTTATCAATCACTTATACTCTGATGATAAGCACAATTCATCCTATGATCTACCAGTCTGATAAACTCTGCAAGCCGTTTGACAAAAAGGGTGGAGAAAGGAACCATTTACTCCTGTATAAGGCTGGTCTAAATTATTCTACTTAAATAGAATGATAGAGAATCAGTATGCTTAGAATCCCTAAAATCTGTTACCTCCCATGCTAAACTTTCCATCCCATATTAACCTCTTACCCTACATTCACCATGGTCTTTCGGGGGTGGAAATGTTGAAGAAGATTCTCAGTTATCCAGATAAGAGTTTCTGGAAGTTAAGTCATGGCAAATGGACTTTTCTTTTTTAGTTTGAAACATTTCATTGCTTGTCAAACTGAAGAAGCTACTTGGATAAGCAGTGAAACATTTCAAACTAAAAAAAGAAAAGTAGTCCGGTTGCTGTAACTCAACTTCCAGACATCTTTCTGGGGAATTGGCCAGTTACAAACCTACTAGGAGTCTTCATCAAATGCTGGATCTTCTCCTTCCTGAGACAGGAGCCCTGTTCTGACCTCACAGAAAGAATGAAACAATTCAATGGGGGCTGGAATATTGACAGTGATAAAAATTATCTATAACAGGGGTGTCAAACTCGATTTCATTGAGGGCTGCATCAGGGTTGTGTTTGACCTCGGGGGGCCAAGTGAGCATGGCCAGCTTGACATCCTGCATCCCTCTGCCAGCAAAAACAGAGCCCAGGAAGGCCGCACATGGCACTTACGAGCTCTGTTTTCACTACAGAGGCACTGCAGGCCAGTCCTTTGCTGTTTTCAGGACGGCCCCGCAGGCCAAATCTAAGCACTCTGCGGGCTGAAACTGGCCTGTGGGCCTTGAGTTTGATACCCCTAATCTATACCACTCAACTGGAAATTAAATGTTGAAAATATATTTTATTATATTTATACCTAAGAGATCTATAAAGGGCATGCATAAGTGCACCATTGTGCCTACCGTCCCTGTCCTATTGTCCCCATTTATTTGTACCTATTTCCTGTATTCTTACTAATGTTTATACTTATACCTATTATCTTGTAAGCAATTGACAAATCAACTAAATAAATAAAATAAAATACTGCATATCAACAGCATTTTAAGGGCAAAGCCGAAATCTAGTTTCTTTCCTACTTAAATTCTTGCCTATCTATTAAATAACAGAAAATATACCTTATTATAGTCAAAGTCATAATGAGACAGGAATTGAATACTAGATGTTTGGCAGGAGAACTCGGAATCCATTTGGCCAAATGTGGCAGGGAATAGGAAGAAGTTATACGAATGTGCAATATACCTATAAAAATTAACAAAAATAATTAAGGCTAGCTAACTGGCAGGGAAGACCCGAAAGTTAACATCAGATAAATATAATTGACAATGAAACAATTTACTTACTCATTTGACATCCCCTTGTAAAATATGGACAAACCTAACAGGGAAAAAAATTCAATTTATTGCGCAGCAATATGCTGATCAGAGTCTTCTTTGTGGGGTTTTTTGCCCAACTTCTATGTTAACTAGCATCCTCAGGAATGGATTATGGATTATTGTATATATCATCAGATTATGTTCTATTTGGGAGCATATGTGTTGGTCTTATGTGTAGGGGATTTGTGAATTAACATCTTGGGTGAATGTGGGGTAGTTTGTCTGCCATGAGCCTTCACAGGGGTTGGTCATTCTCTACACTCTTATACTGTATGTAGCTTAATCCCCCCCCCCCAAAAAAAGTTCCTTTAATAGATATATCTCAAAATACACTTGGGAAAGAGGAAAGGTATATAAATGTATTCTTTTAAGATTATTTTTTTTTTGAGAAATTAAGATGATCTTGAAAGGGATTTTAGTTCAGATACGGTTTCTAACTTTTGATTGCCACATTTTAAGCAATCTTAAAACCTATGTTTTAGAAACCAGAAGAGCTCACCAAGTTGATTCACTGTAAACCGCTGAACACTCTGTCTGCCTTTCCGATACCACTCAGCAGGTAAATCAAAGAGACTGGGGAAAAGAAAGATATGAAAGATTTCCATGTTGTTCATCATCTTTCTAACTTCTATGGGGACATTACTAGAAAATATATTTATTTCAACAAGCTTACCTAGGCTGACTGTCAGAATGCAAACCTGTGAATTCCATATCAAGGCCTGCAATAGAAAGAACATGTGCCTTCCACTATTATTAAATGATGAATACAGTTTTATTTAATTCATATATCTCAATCTTACCTATGTAGGTTTTTATGCTATTCATAATTCATATTGAATATATTAATAAATTGTGTGTGTGTGTGTGTGTGGTATAGTAGTAGTAGTAACATGCTCCTAAACTTTAAAACAGGGATTGAGGGATTTCTCCATGATCAGTAAAGTGATTTCAATTATAAATATTTTAATGCACCACACCAGATTTTTGTCCATCATTTGCAGTATTTTCTCAGTATTCTATGGTAATGCATTTAATACACCCTTCAATGTGCTTTTTATATCAGTTGGAGTAAAATTCTTGTCTTTATAAGTCAATTTAAAACATTAGCAACCCTTCTATTATAAACTATAAGATTCAGATATGGGATGCCATAGAGAAGGAAGGATGCCAGATCAGAGCTCTTCAAATAATCACACTATGGAAAAAATATGACTAAAGGATTTATTTTACTGTGGAATAGTTAAGTGCAAACTTTGCAAATTTAGAGCAACACATTTGCCCTAGGAAATATCTTATTTCTAAACCACAAAACAATGCAATATTTTTGCTCCTCTTGCAGAGTATCATTGGACTCAACATAATCCTGGGAGCTTTCTTGGAATTAAATACTTAAAGGTCTGTTAAGAAAACGCTGTACTGATCTTGCTACAACTCTCAAAATCCCATATTGGTTAGGATGGAAATAAAAGAGCTCTGCAATGATTTCTCTACAATAACAAATTTATGACCTTTCCAAAATCAGAAGGCATAATCTATACAGCAGCATACAGATACCTATTTTCATAATATTCATCAACCTTGCTTACATCCTCTTCATCTATCCTTGTTACAACAACTCTGTAAAGTAGGTTGAGATCATGACTGTGATCACATATACTAAACCATGATTTGCTCCATCAGCTATTTAACAAGCCACCGTTGATTTTACATAATCATGGTGTACAAATTACATTGGCTGGATGTGTGTTTTATTTTCTATCTCATATGTCGTCTTTTGGCTCCATAACCCGGCCTGCAAGTCATCCAAAGGGCCAAGTGAGAATCCAATCAGAGATCCAGTCCCCCATCTACAGTAGCCAGATCCTGGTAAGCCCCTGAAGTGTATCCAGCAACTTCCTTGGGATCAATAATAGCTTTCTCCGTTTAAAAACACTTCTCAAAGTTTAAGGAGGAGCGCGTCATCCGTACAGCAGCTGAGACCAAAATTAACACGGATAAATAAGCGTGGACGTGTGTGAACAACAGGGCCGCCCAATTTCGTAGTTAACCTATTCAAGATGGGAAAAGTTTCACCCTCCATATCACATCCCCGCCTCACCAACAAAGTCGCAGCCCAGGACAAGCTCCTCTAACCAAGGCAACATTTCTGGAAACTGCGCTGCCCCCACATCCATCCCGCCCAGGCTGCTTTCTCTCCGCCGCATGGCCACCTCCTGCCTTTGCGGTTCAATCAACTTCCCGCTCCTCTTTGGAGGCTGAAGGGGGCGGAACCAGCCTTATTTGCTACTCCGTCCGCCCCCCCTCCGCACTTAAAGACTTTTCCGCGTTCCCCGATCGCTGGAAATGATTGTCTGAATCCGGTCATTGGTGCTTTTTCGTTGTCCATCTAGGAAAGCAACGCTTGGGATATTGCCTAAATTCCGTCGCTGATATAAGGGGCCGAGGAACCACTTGAACAAACGTTTATTGGCTAAAATTCAGATCGGCTATTTAGAAAATTAACCGGGTTATATACATGTTTTTGCCTTGTAGGTATTCTGAGTTCGATAATATTTAAGTATGAAATAAGGCTAAGCTTAATGTTGAGTGAATTTCTATGCCACATGACACTCAGCGACTCTGGACCTAGAATGAAATGGGAATAGGAATAGAGTACTTTATTGGCCAAGTGTGATTGGGCACACAAGGAATTTGTGTTCATTGCATAAGCTCTTGGTGTACATAAAGCTATGTGATAAATCATATACATGTATACAGGTAGGCCTCGATTTACAATAGTTCATATATTGACCGAAGTTACACTGGTGCTGAAAAAAGTGACTTATGACCGTTTTTCAGAGTTACCACCTTTGCAGCATCCCCATGATCATGTGATCAAAATTCAGGTGCTTGGTAACTGACCATTGCAGTGTCCCAGGGTCATGGGATCCCCCTTTGCCACCTTCTGAAAAGCAAAGTCAAGGGGTAAGCCATATTCACTTAACAACCTTGTTACTAATTTAACAGCCAATTCACTTAACCTGGCAAGAAAAGTCATAAAATGGGGCAAAACTTACTTAACAAATTTCTCCCTTAGCAACATACATTTCAGGCTCAACTGTGGTTGTAAGTCTACGATTACCTGTATTCTTGCAGGTTTTATTCTCCTTTTGTGCTCATAATAGGTATGTTTAAATGGCATTGTAAGATCAATTAAGGGCTGCTTAATTACCTTACTAAAATAAAAATTGCACTGCCTTGACTTAATGTAGTATCTTGCTGATATATTGTGTCCACAGTCTTTGAGAATGAGGTAAAATCATATGTATTTTGTTTTCTTTAACTAACTTCTCTAGTTGTAGCAATGAAGAAGGCCTCTTAAATGGTATCTTCTGAGTAGACCAGAAAGCCATGGTAATAATGACGGGCAATCTAGGCAAATAGCTGTGAGATTCCCCCTCCCCCAAAGAGCAAGATAAAAGTAACTTGATATGGTGGTATAATCCAAATAAAAGCTCTTTTCTTTATGCCGAGTAGCTCTTATCCTTTGTTTTATGAGGGAAACTTTGCTAGAAAAAAGACAAATGAAGATACTGCAGAGCAGGTTAGTTGATAGTCCTAATCAAGTTTCTGTTACAGAGATGAAACCTATTACTTCCAGACTCAGCAGAAAATGTGTCAGACTCTGCTAGAATTTAATCAATCCCACCTGGCTTAAGGTCCAGAATGAATTTTGAAACACCATCTTCCAACATTTTCCAGTAAGTGGATCATAATATATTAAATCACTTTTGTGGACCAGCGAAAGTTTTAAACACTGTCGAAAGAAATCTGATATATACCTATTTGCAACAAAACAATTTTCTACCATTAAAAGAAATCACCCATCACAGTCAAGTGGTTTATTTTAAAAAGCAAAAGGGAATAAAAGAGCCCTTACTTACTGCAGGTGAGTGAGTGCACACCAGATCTACCATTTATTTTTAAAGAGAAATAACGATATTGGCTATTTATTTCTTAAAAAGATAGACACATTGGCTAGGGAACCACCTGTAGCAGGTTATTATTTTATACTGTTATTTTATGAAAATAGTTAACAAGAAAGCAAACAAAAAACTGTCACCAGCAGTTGTGTATCTATTGGATTTTTATTTAATATAAAAAGGTTTAATGGTATTATGTATTAAGAGCGGTATGTGATTGACTGTCCTCCAAGGATGGAACTGCAGGCTTCTGAGGCTGTACTTCTCTGGGAAGCTTCTTATTACCATACTTATCATAAATTCTTTCAAGTTCTTTCAGTTCAACACCACCTTCAGTCATAGCCTGCTTGAAACGTTTCAGCTATTTTCATTTAAAAAGAAAGACAACTGTTAATTTTGTCAGTTCCATTGGTACTTTCAGCATACACAGTGAATTACAGTTCTCTTAATTCCTTTCTCCTCCCAAATAATGTAATTCTCATGTTAAGAGGGTATGCCAACTCTGACATTAAGCAGTCATTGATATTTACATTTTTAATACTTTGGCCATAAACCATGCTATGAGTAAGCTGTGCAATATTATGGTCAAGAACATAAAATGTAGGATAAGTAGCAACCAAAGTAAGAAAAACAAAATCAACTTGCCCCTTCGCCACGTTTTTCCCATGGAATTATAACCTTGTCATCCACAAAGTTGATTCCAGCTTCAAGACAACGTTGTGCTAATACACGCCCCACATTCTCACATGCTGCCACACCTGTTGTTTTATAAAGATGCTTCTTAATAGCCCACTCGCGAGTGGAAGCAGAGACTACAATATGACCGCTGCAATGTTCAATGTAGCCTTTCACATGTTTTTGGGTTTTTTCCAATCGTAACCTGAATGGTTAAATATGAAAAACAAAATGTTACTGTTTTACTATCAGAGAAATTCACCCGCAATAACAAAAATTCATATAGTTCTGTACTTGTAAATCTTATGTCTCATATCTGAAATTTTACATATCTCGGATTATTTGTAAACTTCTCTTTCCCTTTTCAAACATTAATTTAATTATAAACAGAAAATGATGCCTCCGTTATGTGGAACAGCCTGTCTCTGGATAATTGGACCACAACCCTCTTGTTGGGCTTTCATAAGGTCAAACATATATGGCTTTTCAACAAAACATTTGAGGGATTTGAAGACTAATCTATCCCTTGCAGATGGCATATCAAATGTTATATTCTGTAATACTTGCTCATTTTGTTTTATTGATTTTAATTCTATGTGTTGGTAGATGTAAGCTACTTAACACTTTTGGCAAGTGAGTGGCACAAAAGCCATTACAAATGAATTAACATGCATACTTGCATGCATATATGCTGCACTGATGAAAACAGAATCATTCCTTTGAAATAAATGGGAACTGCTGTTAAGTTTGGATTTCCTGCGGAAACTTCTGTGATTGTAGATCCTCAAGTGAGCTCCACGTCTCTTTGGCTCTTGTAGATCCCCCCAAAACAACAAACCTTTACTTTTAAATTCAATTTTTAGTGCAATAATTGTTTCCCTTAACTATATTTTCCATCATAGGTATCTCATTAGTGCATCTGTAAAGAGGGCAGAATCAGAAAAAGAATTTAAAAGATTCAAGAAAATAAATATAATTTCAAAACATTATGGCTGAAATAATATGTGGACTATTACAGGCTATATGTTCTGTCTCCTGACAGAAATCTCAAGTATCAACAAATTTATTTTAAACAAGGTAAATTGTACAGTCTTGAAGTATATTTCAAATGTACACTATAAACAGGAATACAGTCCTTGACTTTCAACAGTTTGTTTAGTGACTGTTCAGTTACAATGGCACTGAAAAAGGTGATTTATGACCATTTTTCATATTTACAATCATTGCAGCATCCTTGTGGCCGTGTGATCTAAATTTGAATGCTTGGCAACTGGTTCATATTTTTGATGCAGTGTCCTAGAGTTATGCAATCATCTTTTGCAACCTTTGGCAAGAAAAATGGGGAATGGGGAAGCCAGATTCACTTAACAATCATGTTACTAACAGCTGCAATGATTAACTTAACAAATGTGCCAAGAAAGTTCATAAAAAGGGCAAAACTCACTTAACAAATTTCTCACTTAGCAACATAAATTTTGGGCTCAATTGTGGTTGTAAGTCGAGGACTCCTGTACTGCAACAGACTTCATGATTTGGCAGGTGCCACAGGCTGTGAAAATATATGTTTTGCACTGTAACAGTGGTTCTCAACTTTTTCTTCACTGCGGACCCTTTTAAATACCTTTTGTTGCCATAGACCCTCAAGACTTAAGATTTAAATCATAATATTTATTCAAGCCTTTGCAGACCCGTGATGAGATTGCACCCATCCCATGGGTCCACGGATCACAGGTTCAGAACCACTGTATGTAAAGCAAGTGCAGAAATTTCCAGTGAATTAAAAATACAATATATTGGCTACCTATGTGAGTTGCTCTATAACTTCCTATATTCACAGAAGGTATTGCTGTCAACAGGCAGAAAAGAGTAGGGAACTGTATAATGCAAACTGATAAGAGGAATAAAATAGCTAAAATAGCTCTTTAGACAATCAATCACGCCCTGGTTATTTCATGGCTTGACTACTGCAATACACTCTACATGGAGTTGTCCTTGAAGACCATCTAGAAGCTTCAATTAATGGAATGCAGCGACACAAACAATGATGACCGTATCTCAGTATGCCCATATAATGCCTCTGCTTCACGAGCTGCATTGGTGGCCAGTTGGCTTCCAGGTGTGATTCAAGTGCTAATTGTTACCTATAAAGTCCTACATATCATAGGGCCTGGTTACTTGAGGGTTCATCTGTCTCCCATAATATCTAGCCAACTGATTCAATCTGTCAGGGTTGGCATGCTCCAAGTCCTTCAATTAAACAATGTCATCCATTAATACTCTGGAAGTGTGCCTTCTTTGTCACAACACCCTTACTGTGAGATTACCTCTTGAGATTAGAATGTTCCCCATTCTGCTGGTGTTTCCAAGGGACCAGGCTCTTTATCCGAGCCTTTTGTAATCTCCTTTTATTCTAGGTTGTTTGCGTTTGCTTTTGTTTCCAGCTTGTTATTCAGCCATTTCTACTCTTTTCTTTATTTCTTATTTTTTGTCATCTTCTTCATGTTTTAAATCACTTATAAACCATCCAGGATCACTGGGCATTGGGCCCAATATAAATTTAAATAATAATAATAATGAAAAGGGATCTACAACTAGTAGTCAAAAAAAGCTCCAATATCAATATTGGGAATTTGGAATCAATCAAAAAGCAAACGAACTGCTACAGATTCATATGAACATTAAGACAGAAAAGATTGAGAGCCCGACAACATGAGTATCACCAACAACATATTTGCCCTCTTCAGAATAGAATAAATATTTGATAAAAAGAATTCTTCAAAATTAAGTGAAGTTCTGTATTATTGAACATAGGTTATTTCTGCATTGTTCTCATTTACCTGTACCAATAGTCCCGTTTTGGCCATGAGGTTTTCCAACCTAGATCCTTTCTTGCTATAGCCAATCTTTCCAAATTATGTGGGTTCCTATTTGTGAACTCAGGAGCAACAATCTCATTTTCTCTTGTATCCACTTCATCAGGCAGAGGTATGGAATTGGGAACAGAAGAATTAAATTTAACTCCTGCAAGAAAATAAAGAAAAATAAATGTATGCTTAAAGGACTTAGAAAACAACCAAGAATACAAAAAGATTATTCAGTATAATATATAAATGTACTAAACTCATAGACTGATGGTGAAGTGGGGATAAGGAAAACAGATAAAAATGCTTAATATTGTTCATTTAAGCAAGCTGAATCTCATTAAACTATCAATACATTTTGTATTCCCATTGATTAAAGAATTCTTGGCACATCGTTTCTAATTTGTGATTTAGAAAGGCTGCAAAGATGTCCCTTAAATGTTTATTTAACTGCAAAATGTTTATTTCTAGATTGGCCCACCACCACCTACAGCAAAACAAACCCTTCTCCCTTAAGTTAATGCTCCCCGAAGTACAACTATCATAATTTTATTCAGCATTTTGCCTGCAATTCAAGTTAAAACCATCCAGAAAGTAAGCAGCTAAGGATGGCCGCCTGTCAAAATCTTCTGGTAATCGCAGGAGCTGCATTCTTGTGTAGACTTTGAAAGGGACCTACTTCCAAGGGGGCAGCTTTAGAATCCGCTGTTCGGATTCAACCTCAAAAAATAAGAATAACAACATTACTGTACCGAAAAAGACCCCTGCAAAAAAAAGTTAGAAGAGAGAAAACCTCTCGCTGACTTAACCGTTCAGTCTCCTTCCCTACATTTCTGAATGTCATATTAAAGACCCGTGCTTCTCCACCAAAAATCTGAAACTCAAAGAGTCGCCTACCGTGCTCGGATTCCTCGAATGTCCTGGCCGCCCTGCTCAGCGGCGGAGCCAACCTCCTGAACGCCATCGCGCCTGGGAAAACTAAACAGGAAGGGACCTAGCCGGACCTACAAGAAGCTGGGGGGCGCCACCTTTTCCTCTGTTGAACCTTGCATGTTTTTTTTCCCATGGTCTCTTTCGGTTTTCATTAAAAAAAGAAAAAAGGAAATCGAAAGCCTGATTGGTCAGCCACATATTAATCCGTTTCATTTCCTCTAGAATAGCTCTATAAACCAATAACAACGCAAATGAACGTGGCTATAGATTTGTAACTGCAGAGTAGCGTTTTTCAAACTTGGCAACTTTAAGATACGAGGACTTTAATTCTTAGCATTGTCCAACCGGTATGTTTGAAAAACGTTGCTATAGTAACGTTGCTATAGCAAAAAGGAATGGAAAAGTTTCTGATTTTTAAAACAGGAACTTTTCCATCATCTCTCTATACAGCAATGTTTTCCTATGCTATTTCCTCTGTTCTGTGCCCTCTTAAGAACCCACGCCTTAGGAGTCCACGGAGTTATTTTTAAAAATATTCTTTTATAACTAATGCTTTGTTTTTTTGCGAATGGTGGGTTTTAAAGAAATCAAAAGACCTCAACATATTCTGAAGAACATCGCTGGATTTATGGATGGTGTTCAACAGCAAATTTTATAGGCTTCTAAAAGAAGTAAAATTAAGTGAAGTGCAAACAAGCGGAGACCTTGCATCAAAACATGGATGAATTTGTTAGTGTCAGTAAATCCGTTACTCCGTGTCCTGGTGCTTTGGAGATAATCCAATGCAATAAACAACTATTTATGTCCACTAACTTCCTACAGAATGTGACGTTTTATCAGCCCAAAGTCACTCAGCTGGCTTTGTGCCGAAGGCAGGACCACAACTCACGCTTTTTAAGCCTGATGCCTTAACTACACCACCGAACTGGTTCCCAGTTATCATAACGAAGATGGAAATTCATAACTTATAAAACGTTTAAATCAAGGGTCTTCAAACTTGGCAGCTTTAAGACTTGTGGATTTCAACTCCCAGAGTTCCTGAGCTAACATGACTGGAGGAGGAGTTCTGGGAGTTGAAGTCCACAAGTCTTTAAAGCTGCCAAGTTTGAAAGGCCCCTCGTTTAAATCTTTCGATTTTAACCCCTTTAATTTGCAATATTGACGGAGTGATTCTACTGAGACATAGCATTGCTTTTTTCACCCAATATTAGAAAATCATCCAGTGTTATCTTAATCGAGCAGAAATTCTGAGTTTCAGTTGAAATTGCCCTTGGGTGCTTTTTCAAGAGGCAACTGAACTTTGAAGACGTTTCAGTCAGAGCTGAAGAAGCTTCTCGGGTGACAAGCGAAACGCCTTCAAAGAAAAACCAAAAAGTCCAGTTGCCTCTAAGTATGTAACTGTTGAAACGCCGCTTTTCCTTTTTTTTTCCTTTCCCTATCTCTGTGGGTTTGAGAGCCAAAGGAAACACTTCATTCGTATCCCGTGCAACCTTGGAGACAGACCATGTGATTGCGCATTTTTTTTAACGCGTTATGTACCGAGCTTCCCTGATTTCAGAGTTTTAAAAAGCCTTTGCGAAATGGAGCTTTCATCAGCTGTTATAAGAACCAAAGACGACATTGACTGTTTCTTTTTATAGACCATTCTTTTTATTTATTTTAAACTAGCGAGACTGCCACTTGGCAGCAGCGCTTAATACGCCCTTTGAAGGAGAAGCGACTACCCTCACCCACGCTAGAATCTTCTAGAACGCATTGACCCCACCCGTCTGTTCTCATTGGTTGTTCCTCGAAAAAAAGGGCGGGTCGTTTGTTGCCCGATCACCAATCGTCCTCCAAGACCCGACGGGCCGAGCAGGGGAAGTTCGTTTCCTTTCTCTTCAAATCACGCTAGTTTTACGACGCTCCCGGGCGACTGATTCGTGTCTAATCCACCGATAGGCTTATAGGTCGCGAGGGGGCGGAGCTTCCCAAAAGACCTCGCCTCGCCGTCCGCAATCTCTTGCAGGCTCGTGCTCGTTACGGCCTCGGTCTCTTTGTCCAGGAAAATGGCGCTGGAGGGGCCTTTGGCGGTTTTTGGGGAGCGGAGCACCGGCGAAAACATCCGGACACAAAACGGTAAACTCTCGAAAAGCTTCCCTCGGGTCCCCATAAGCCGCCGCAGCTCGAGTCGCCGGAGAGTTAACGGTTCCTCCGCCGTTCGTCTGCGGCGGGTGGAAAGTTGGGCGCGGGCATCCAAACGAGACCGGCCGTTGCTGCCTCAACTCGTGGTCCCGAGTAGGTTGGGGCCGGGTCTGGGTGCGAAGTCGGCCCGGCGGAAGCAGTGGTTGCTGGCGGGCCGGCAGGTAGGCCGGCCGGCTCGCACGTGTGCTTGATTAACCCGAAAGGGAAGAAGGTGTTGCAGGAGGGGATGAGGAAGAAGGGGCCGCATTAGGAACAATCCAGTCCTTTATTTTTTTTCCCCCTGTTCGGTTCTGGCTGGGCTCCATTTAGACCTGAGATAAGCGCGGACCGATTCTGTCCGCACTGCAACTGACAGTGATCCCTGATTCCCACGTGGGAGAACTTGAGTCACGCCCCGTATGAATGGGTGGGTTTAGTGACTGGGTCGCTTCCCTATACAGGTATCCTCGACTTTCAGCAGTTCGCTTAGTGACCGTCGGAAGTTAGAACAGCACTGGAAAAAAAAGTGACTTGTGACCATTTTTCACACTTGTGACCATTGCAGCCACCCCCATGGTCGCGAGATTTGCATTTGGATGTTTGGCAAAATGACTCACGTTTGTGACGGTTGTAGTGTCCTGGGATTATGTGATTCCCATTTGGGACCTTCTGACAAGCAAAGTCAATGTGGGGGAAGCCAGATTCACTTAACCGTGTTACTAATTTAACAACTGCAGTGATTCACTTTAACAAGTGTGGCAGCAAAAATCATGAAATGGGGCAAAATTCACTTAACAACTTTCTCACTTAGCAACATAAATTTTGGGTTCAATTGTGGTCGTAAGTGGAGGACTACCTGTAGTACACTGGTGGTTGAGAAGCAGTGTTAAGTCCACCAGGATGCAGAATTTCTTTGGGGGAGAAGATAAGTTATCAGTAGCCTTTGAGCATTTTAAAATTGCTGTAGAAACCATAGTGAATATATTCAGCTGTTTAAAAGTAAGCTTTATAGCTGAAGTGTTTGGGTCCTTAACTTTTACACCATTTTTTTTCAGAGTCAGATACTACTTTATGTCCTATCAAAATATGTCATGAAGAATATTAGTTCTTCTGCTGAAGTTAGAGGTGTTTACATGCCTCGATTTCTAAAATATATTTCAGAGACCTACATATCTGTAAAGGGGTTTGCCACAGTTTCTATTTAAATATCTGTCTCTTTCTGTTCCTGGAAGAAATAATATGCAGAACCAGGCTATTGTAGAAAATAACTGGACTGGGTTCAGTTGATTATTAAATCTCAGGATTCGATTGCAATTAAAGTTCTAAAGTTTAAGACAGTGACAAACCACTTTTGTAGTGTTAAGCAAACAACATGTTTCCATGTGGTAACCAAGAAACCGGCTGTAGGATGGGACTGCTTTAGGAGTGACATGTTTGAGAAGAAAACTTCTGTAAATGCTGTCTCTTTTATTCTGGCTCCTGTGGTGATATGCATTTATGCATCTTGTTTTAGAGTTAAGAAACAATTTAAAAAATAGATTTTGATTATCCAAGTATGTATGAGAGGTTTTTTTTTAAAAAAGGATGCTCTTATATTTCAGTCTACTGGATTGTCATAACTTCTCTTGTTAAAATAGTTCCAGAATAAATTGCTAGGTGTTAGACTGTCCCATTGTACTGCCTCTTATTTGCACTACAAAATAAGAGATAATCCTTATGGGATAAATAAATATCTGTCATAGTCTGATGGAGAAGAATGAATACCAACTTCTTTCTATATGAAATGGCAGAACAAATCATTACAAAGACAAGTACGATATTTCTAAGATTGAATCATGTTGTTCCTTTTTTGGTACATGATGCAAAGAACCTGAAGTTAATTTTCCATAAAAATTTTCATAATGGCCTAAATTTTGCTTATGATAAACTGAATGGTTGGATCACAAACTATGGCCTGTGTATAAAACAACTGCTTTGTGTAAGTTACAGCATACAGTCTGTTTTCAAATGCAACTACAAATACATTATTAGTGTGTAAATGAGACAGTGGTTAAAACCTAAACAAAGTAGTAATTGCCAGTTTTATTGCCCAAATCTATTTTCTATTTTTAAAATATTTAAAAGCATATATTTAGTACTTGAATTCCATCAGTTAAAATTTTAGGAAACAATTCTGCTTTTGAAGAAAAAAAATCTGTTTTGTTGAAACAGTTACAGCTGCTGCTTCAATTGCCAATATTGTAAAGAGTTCACTGGGTCCAGTTGGTTTGGATAAAATGCTGGTGGATGACATTGGTGTAAGTAGATCTTCTTTTTTGAAACTACCAATAGAAAATAATTTGTTTTAATTTTAAAAATTAGAAAGCGGAGTCGTTCTATTCAAGGTGCCAAGTAACATGGTGGAGGATGGATAGTCAGGGTTTTCCTCCACCCCAGCATTCCCATTTATGTCTCCCTGATCTGGGAAAGAAGAAAAAATCTCTTACCCCTACATCTGTATGTAGTCTTCACACAGATGTCAAAAAAGTAGCCTAAGATACTCAAAAATCTCACAAATAGCCAAACTAGTATTTAAAAAAGGCCTTGGTAGCAGTTTTTGGACTGCCTCATTAAGTCAACATTTATTTTTAACTTTGTACTGTATTTCTAAAATAGAAACAAATAGAATAAAATAAAAATAAACTTTTGGCCAGTAGTATTCCAGGTATGATCCAAAGATGGCATGCATGCTCTCTCACTCTTTTCCTTTGCTACAGGGAAAGAGGGGTGCTTCTTTGGCTTCAGTTTGATAGAGGTACTTTCAAACTGATGATTCCATAACAGGAAAATAATTTCTATCACTTTGATCCAGTCACAGTCAGCCTAACCCATTTCAGGGGGTACTGGTTGCATGCAAAATAGGAAGAGGAGGGAGGATTAGGTATGTTACTTATTTTAAAAAAGGGTGGGGTGAAACTAAATACTAATTCTAGAGCTTAATAAGGACAGTAGGATATTATACATTTATTTTAATACATTTATATAGCCACCTGACTCACATAGGTGGCTCTGGGTGGGTTACAAATTTTTTTAAAACCACCGTATAATCCCCTCCACTCCCACCTCACATGGCATCAACAGCTTTGCCTCCATTTATAGTCACCAGGCCCATTGACAAAAATGGGGTTTAGAGCATAGATTAAGCTACAGTTGGATTGTTAGACAATTATATGATGGATAAATACATCACTAATTAAAAACATCACTAATTAAAAGGCAATTACTTATATTCCAATTGATATTAAGCTACATGATCCCAAATGATATTAAGCTACATGAATGACTATTGTGTATTTGGAATATTAGGATGTGACCATAACTAACGATGGTGCAACTATCCTGAAGTTGTTGGAGGTAGAACATCCTGCTGCAAAAGTACTGTGTGAACTAGCAGAATTGCAAGACAAAGAAGTTGGAGATGGGACTACCTCTGTGGTATGTATTGCTATATTATATGCTCTCGTGACCGTGTCAACATTCAAGTAGCATTAATAGTATTTAAAACTTACATTTTATAATGCAAGTATGTGAAATTAACTTGTGCCCCTTTCAACAATGGCAAACACGTATCGAAACAGCATAATTAGCTCTAGCACTGTCTTCAGTTAAAATACAGTTTCACTTGGATACGCAGAACTGGTGTGATGTATCTTCAGAGAAGCTAAATTCTGAATCCATTTTCAGGGCTACTTAAGTTTGCCTCTAAAAATGAAATAAAACTTTCCCATTTAACTACCATTTATTTCTTCTACAAAATAAATGGCTATGCTTATGGGATAAAGGAATAACTGCCAAAGTCTGAAGGAGAAGACTTAACAATATCTTTTTCCTACATTAAGTGGCAGAACATATTATAGAATAATTTAAACTCTAAGCAGGTAGTCCTCAAGTATTTGTTCAGTGACTGTTGAAGATACGATGATGCTGAACAAGGAGAGTTATGGCCAGTTTTTCAAGTCATGGTGGTCACAGTGTCCCCTGCAATCATGTGATCATGATTTGGGTGCTTGGCAACCGACTCAAAATTACAATGGTCACAGGGTCCCGGAGTTAAATGATTACTATTTATGATCTTCACTGCTGGCTTCCACCAGCACAGTCAATGGAGAAGTCAGCAGGAGATTGCAAATGGTGATCGTGGGACTATGATGCTGCAACTGCATGGGATTCACCTAGCAACTGCAGCTGGAAATGGCTTTGTAAGTTGCCATGATCATGTGAATGTGTTTTTATGACCACATCACTTAGTGACAATGTTCCTGGTCCCAATTACTATAACGAACCAAGGGCTATTTTCAGAAAAAGAAGGCATGTATTTGTTCAATTGTGAGGTGATCAACATCACAATTTAATTGTGACAATTGTGAGCAACTAATAGATTTTAATTTCTTGTCTGTAGCTAGAGCTTTCTTAGTCTTGCCACCCTGCTAAATGAAATGCAAAACTGATAACACGTAATCATTTTAAACATTAATGATGGATTAAATAGTTTGTGATGCAAGAATTTAAATCCAGAAAATGTTGTCTCCTAAGGTAACTAGAGTAGTTCTTCCCGAGAGAGGTCCCCTTGGGATATTTTTACAAGTACATGCTAATGTTCTTGGCTATTCTGGCTCAGTCTTTTAGTCAACAGCATCTAAATTGTCAACTAACAGTGTACTTCTTGCCTTCAAAGTGGCAAAATTATTTTCAGATTATTTTTTGTCTTGGCTGGTTCATCCTATCTCCCTGGCTTCTGATTAATTTTTGATTATATTCCATGATCATAGGGAATATAATATAGTTCTTTCAATGTTGAAAATTTCCAAGAAAATGAGATGTTCTACAGAACTTCAGTCTCAACAGTATTCAAAACAAAAAGTTCTATTTACCTGTAACTTGAATCATGTGTTAGAGTAAATTGAATAGCTCTGCCTCCTGAAGCAAATGCAACTTGTGAAATTTATGTGGGTTTTTTATTTTTGTTTTTTTTACTGCTTGTATCAAGGACATAACTTTTTCACAGAATAGTTTTAAAGTAAATGTTGTCTTTCATAGGTAATTGTTGCTGCAGAACTTTTGAAAAATGCAGATGAATTGGTGAAACAGAAAATTCATCCGACTTCTGTCATTAGTGGATATCGTCTTGCTTGCAAGTAAGACCTATTGATTTACTTCAAGTGAGAAATTGTATAATTGTACAATTAAGTTTCAGCCAATACATTTTTAAATCAATACAGCATTTTTCAAATATTGATGGCCTCTTCTATCAGTCATGAGGTAATTGACAAATAAAGCCCTTTCACTGAGAGTTCTATGATGGAGTGCTGTTATCTGCCCCAATAACAAGCAACTGGAAAGCTAGCTTTGGACGTAGATAGAAGCAGGTGAGCAAGTAAAAGATGAAATCCACAGTGCTTTGTCAGTACAGATTTTCCCCTTCACCAATGGAGAGAAAGGATTGTTATTACTGTCATTATGTTTGAGGGTTACGGTACTATTTGAGATTGGTTAGAATTCTTTGTGCTACATATATCCCTGTTGTGGTTCAGTAAAGCATAAGGGTTTGGGGGCAAGTTAGGTGACAGTGGTCTGAATTTCATTGACAGGGAACAATTTTTGTATCATCCCCATTTTATCGTTTAGTCTATAACTACTCCACAGTATTTTGGTCCTGGTTTTTAACTTTCTTAATTTTGGTTCATTTCATAGTTAATGTTTTAATATTTTATACCTCTGTTTTATGATGTTTATAAACTGCCCAGAGTCATTTGTTAATGAGATGGAAAGTATATAAATTTAATAAAATTGATCTAGGTGTTCTGCTAATGTATCTGTCATGATGGCAGCATATCTCAATCTTGACAGTATATCTGCTTTTGCTAGAATATAGAATTGATCTATATTGCCCTTGAAATCTTTAAATTGTTTGAAGCTTTTATGTTTAATGATTAAGTGCGCTACAGATGTGATATGCTTTGTTTAAAAAATTAGGTGTGTATTTTTAAATGTTTAGTGAAAGGTTTTAAAATATTAGAAAGCATGGAAATGCAGGGCCACTGAAAATGTAAATTTAAGATATTTTATTTTTCTAATCTGCACACAACTTACAGTTTGGGGGACAGAACATTCTAGTTCTCTTTTCTTCTGGAAAATTTCAGAAGTAAATAGTTGGTTCACTCACCAGAATGGCCAGAACAATATAGTCTGGAAGAAAATAGAACTTATGATGTTCCCTGAAGTAGTAAGTTTTGCACACTCCTATTATATATATTTAATTAACATTTCTAAGTTGGAAGCATTCAATTTAAATTCTGATGATTCTGTGAAAATACTGAGTTTCTTTTCCTCAACAGGGAGGCAGTTCGCTACATCAATGAAAATTTGGTTATTAACTCAGATGAGTTGGGCAAAGACTGTCTTATTAATGCAGCAAAAACCTCAATGTCATCCAAAATCATAGGAGTGTATCCTTTCACAGAGAAAAATTAGGAACGGGTATTGTGTAGAAATTAGACACTGACTGAAGTATCTAATTTATGAAGAAAAATGGCATTATTAGCATTTGTAATTCTTATTGTTGTGAGGCATATAGGATTTATATTCCATGTATTAAGATTATGTTAACCTTAACAGTATTCTTGTAGTGACAGTGACTTCTTTGCCAACATGGTAGTAGATGCTGTACTTGCAGTAAAATACACAGATCAAAGGGGACAACCACATTATCCTATCAACTCTATCAATGTTTTGAAGGCACATGGTCGCAGTCAGAAAGAGAGTATTCTTGTAAATGGCTATGCATTAAACTGCATTGTAGGCTCCCAAGGTAAGATCACACACCCCCAGTAAAACAGTAAATGGACATAATTTTAAAAGTTAATGCAGTTTTATATCTGCATATAAACACATTTTTAGAAATTATATTTTTGATAAGTTGGCTAGAAGAAATAGTATAACAACATAGAGGTTGAAATTATTTTACACATTTGCAATAGAGTTGATTTGTAAGTATTTTCAGATAGATGGTCCTCCCCTTTGCTTGAATGGAGATGGCTTTCCTAAATTAGATTTGTATTTTCCCTATCAGGGTAAGGCTTTAGTTAGGTATAAGTTTAAACTTAACACACACACACACACACACACCCCAATTACCTGAAATGATTTGACCAGGGTAGAAAGTATTTCAAAGACCGAGAAAGGATTCAGAATGGAACACAAAAATTCTTGGTTATAAATATATAAATGGTGAATAGAAGACATGGGGGAACTTTTTGTTTTCCACAAGAATGGTTTTTATACAACTCTCTGGGAAGAAAATTTTCTGGTAAATTGATGATTGTGCAAGTTGGTTGCATATGGGGATGGCTTGATGATCTCTCCAAATATTTACTTTGTATTTTAGTAATTAAGCAGAAGTATGATGCATTTGATGTATGCATTGATATGTCTTCAAAATCTTTGAAGCTTTGATAAATTTCAAGTATTTTAAGATGGATTATCCAAGTCTAGCCTCACTGTTTATAATGGAGTGAGGCCTCTTTCCCATTTGGGAAAGTAAATTCAAATAAGTTTTTATAAACTATACTCATACTTATTAAAGTGAATAGAAATAAACTGAAGGATACCTACGAAAAGAAGGTATCACTGTGTTTTAGATGCATTAAATTTTATATAGAATCTTAAGAGCGTTTCTCTTTTTCTTTTAGGTATGCCTAAGAGAATAGTTAATGCCAAAATTGCATGCCTTGACTTCAGCCTACAGAAAACTAAAATGAAGCTTGGTGTTCAGGTGGTAATCTCAGACCCAGAAAAACTGGATCAGATTAGACAGAGGTATTCTATGGACATCTTTTTTAACAAAAATGATGCAAATGGCAGCTTTAAAATAGGAAACATAAATAAATCTGTATTTCTATAATTTGTTCTGCATTTATTAAGAGAATGGCATCTTGAATATAAATTGTAACTAAGAATATGACAGTATTGTCAAATATCATTCTTTCTACAGTATGTCCAATAGCTACATTAATCTATAATTTGCAAGATCTGGTTAAGAAATTTACCATTCCTATGCCTGGTAAATGCATTTTTAAAAGTTAGTAATGCCTCTTTTATTTACTAATAATAGTATCCTGAAGTGTCTCCCTTGAATTAATCTTAAAAATTAACCAAAAGATCCAGTGTAACAATGGAGAAATAAGATTTTATCTACACTGAATTTTGAGGGAGGCATTGTTAAAGTATTATTTTGATACGCTTCTCAACTATTCTAATTAAAAACTTTTGCAATTCTCTTGAATTTAAGTTTATAGTTCTAGTTAATCAGTGTGAACTTTCTTTCAGAGAGGGTGACATCACTAAAGAAAAAATTCAGAAGATCCTGGCTACAGGAGCAAATGTTATTTTGACCACTGGGGGCATTGATGATATGTGTCTGAAATATTTCGTTGATGCTGGTGCTATGGCAGTACGCAGAGTTCTAAAAAGAGACCTTAAACGCATTGCTAAGGCTTCTGGAGGTAATTACAGACATCTCTAAATATGATCACAGTTACATGTCTGGTCAATACAGAGCTTAATTATGTAGAACAAGGGTCCCCAACCCCCGGTCCGCAGCCTGTTGGGAAATGGGCTGCACAAGCAATGGATGAGTGCACAAGCGCTTAAAGCTACATTTGCACAACAGGTGTCAGTATACAAAACAAACCCCCCCCCCCCCCTTTGCTGTTGCTGCCTGTCCACAGAACCAGAAAGGCTGGAACCGTTGATGTAGAAGATTGCTATTGTTCCTTCAGACTAGCAGTTGTATTAAATTGTGATTTTGTCAAATCCTTTTTACTTTGTATTAGCCACCGTTTGTTCTACTCTGGCAAA